TTTTTTTTAACAATTTTTTTACGTACTCATAATCAATATTTTCAAAAATGTCTTATGTCAAATTATATAACAGATACCAGTGATGAAGTATGCTTAATTTGAAAGTTGTAGCTGATAAAATAAAGATTTTAGAGCCAATTATGTAAAAAACCGCGATCCGCCGATTGGTTTTTTGGCTTTTCCCAAAAAACTGAATTTTGGAGTTGTGCCCATTCATTATTAAGGGTGCGATGTGTACAGTCGTACACCTTGCTGCATCGTCAGGCTAAGAATTCACGAAGCGGTTTTCACCCGCGGTTTTATTTCCAAACTCGTGGAACCAGGGGTGGAATTGTGTAAAGCAATCGTAATCATTTCATAACGTACGATAAAGTCAGTTAAACAAAGCGTTTGACAGAATAATCGTACGTTATGAACTGTCAAATGATTACGATTGCTTTACACAATTCCACCCCAAATTCTTGAGCAGTTACGCAACCGCCGCGGATCGCTTGTCACGATTGTCACGTGAGTTCTTTACCTTCATCAACGAACACGTGACATGACGCTTAGTAGTTATAGAACCGATTGACTGTGACTTGCCTCATGTGGATCTATCTCGTACAGCGAAAGGTTTCCGTCGTACATATCGGAGGGGCACGGCGAGCCCAGGGGGCTGTCACATAAGGACCTAGAAAGAAACAAAAAATATTTTATTTATTACAATAGGCCAAAATAGTAGTTTTCTTCGTTTTGAGTTACCAATGAAATCGTCGTTAACTGCTAAGATTTATCGTGTTTATACATTGTTATGTATCATTTGCTTGCTTCTCGGTGCTTGTTGAACCTCATAAGAAGGCTCAAAGTCACCCAAAGGGCGACGGAGCGTGCTATACTCGGCGTTTCTCTGCATGATCGAATCAGAAATGAGGAGAATCAAAGTGATCGACATAGCTCGTAAAGCTGAGGGCCGCTGAGGGCGACCACGAGCCGAAGACATAGTGTGGGCAAGCCTTTCACTAGGTGGACCCACGATCTGGTGAAGGTCATGGGAGGTGCCTGGATGCGGGCGGCGCAGGACCGGTCTTTGTGGAAATCTTAGGGGAAGGCTTTTGTCCAGCAGTAGACGTCATTTGGCTGAAACGAACGAACGAAGTATCATTTGATAGCTTAGTCGGCGGGTGCAGGATACGGTCGTCCGCCAACACGTCTAACGTGTCCCTACGTGTTCTATATTATTCTAAAGGTGTACTCACGGCGTGGGCGCCAGGTTGTCGGCGGCGGCGAGCGCCAGCACGCCGTGCTTCTTGCTGAACAGCAGCGGCACGCCGCCGCAAAGCTCCGCGCCCAGGATGCGGTCGCCGTCCGCTGACACGTCGATGAAGTCCACTTTGTCGTTGGATACCGTGCCTGAAAGTAAAACAGAGATATAATAGCACTGCCAAGCAAACCACGCTTAATGTGTTGTGACTTCAAAGGACACCGTTAGGTCAAAGGACCACACTAGCGTCCTCACACTAGCGTCTTTCGCGCCCGCGTAGGGTTGACGCGACGCTGCAAGGACGCCGCACGATATCAACGCAACGTTTTTTTTTACAAGTAACCGAACACCGGGTTGATAAGAGATGAGACGACGACGTCCGCGTCCTGCGCCCAGCTCCTGAGGCACCAGTGACGTCACGCGCGGGCTGGCCGGCTCCTCCAGAGATGTGACACTCACTGTACCTTACAACAGTACACTCACTGGACACGAGCGCGAGGTAGGTGGGCGTGTACAGCAGAGCGTGCGGCCCGAGCGGCAGGAAGCGCGGCGGCGGCTGCTCCGCGTCCTGCGCCCAGCTCCTCCGCGTCCTGCGCCCAGCTCCTGAGGCACCAGTGACGTCACGCGCGGGCTGGCCGGCTCCTCCAGAGATGTGACACTCACTGTACCTTACAACAGTACACTCACTGGACACGAGCGCGAGGTAGGTGGGCGTGTACAGCAGAGCGTGCGGCCCGAGCGGCAGGAAGCGCGGCGGCGGCTGCTCCGCGTCCTGCGCCCAGCTCCGCAGAGGCACCAGTGACGTCACGCGCGGGTTCGCCGGGTCTTCCACTGAGATGTGAGCTGTATGGAAATAAGCTTTGAATTAGTAATGAAAATCATCATCATCGTCATAATCACTTCAGCCATAGTACGTCCATGCTGAACATAGGCCTCCCCCAATGTTTTCCATGTTGATCGATTGGTGATTTGGTGAGCGGCCTGCGTTCAGCGCTTCCTTGCTACGATTTTTATTTTTAGACATTTATGGTGTTGTCGGTTTAGAAGAACTCTAAAGTCGCTAACGTAGCCCGACGGATTAGCAAGCGGAAGTGGCAATGGCAGGGCACACAGTACGCAGAACTGACGGCCAATGGGGCAGCAAAGTTTTGGAATGGAGGCCGCGTACCGGAAAACGCAGCGTGGGACGTCCACCAATAAGGTGGACCAACGACATCAAGTAAAGACAAATGAAATCACAAACTTATTTTTTTATATTAAATACTTGTTTGTTGAAGAACTGTAATGTCAAGAGTTGTCATTTTCTGAATAGATAAAAAAAAATTACATAAAGTATCCTCCGCAAATAACAATTTACTATACAGCGACATCTGGTCGGCCGTTTGGTGTAGTGGTTCGAAACGGACTACTATTCCGGAGGTAGCGGGTTCGATTCCCGCACAGTACAAACATTTGTGTGCATGAACATATTTGTTTGTATTGGACTGGGTGTTTTCTATGTACAGGGTGTAAAAAAACCTATCACGAAGACTGAAACTACGCCTTCTGTACACCCAACCAAGCAATATTACAAAATATTATTGGTGGGAAATATTTTTTATTTTTATGATTAAAAAAAATACAATATTCCGCAGCCCGCAATGTACAGCGCGCCACGCAACGCAATGACCATGCCTATGTGTGTGTGAGTGTATTGGAGCGTACGCGCTTTCCCGCCACTACCTACCGCGACCGCAGAAGTATTTTGTACACAAAATTACCAGATTATTCACTTCCTACATTTAAAAAACACATTCCTTTAGCATTTGTTTAGGTTTAAGTACTTACCGACTAATNCTTCTCTTCTTCGTTCTTCTCGTAGTCTTCTTTTCTTCGTAGTCTTCTCTTCTTCTCGTAGTCTTCTTTTCTTCGTAGTCTTCTCTTCTTCTCGTAGTCTTCTTTTCTTCGTAGTCTTCATTTCTTCACGTAGTCTTCCCTTCTTTATGTAGTCTTCCCTTCTTCACGTAGTCTTCTCTTCTTTATTTTGCAGCCTTTTCTTATCTTCTTCTTTTTTTCTCGTAGTGTTTTCTTCTTTTCTTCTCGTAGTCTTCTCTTCTTCTATTCTTCTCATAGTCTTCTCTTCGTCTTTTCTTCTCGTATCCTTCTCCTCGTCTTCTCTTCTTCTCGTAGTGTCTAATTCTTCTCATAGTCTTCATCTGTTCTTCTCGTAATGTTCTCTTCTCCTTGTCTTCTTCCCTTCTTGTCGTAGTCTTCTGTTCTTCTTGTAGCCTTCTCTTTTCCTTTCTTATCCTCATTTTCTTCTCTGCTTTTCGTAGTCAATTCTTTTCGTCTTCTTCTCGTCTTCTTCTCAACTTTTTCTTTTCGTCATCTTCCTCTCGTCGTCGTCTTTTCTTCCTAAAACCAACGTGAGGGCGACAGTTGCGCGTCGGAAATTTCTCTGCAGGTTAAACTCCGGCCGCGCGAAATCGAAATTCATTTCAATCTTTAACCGAAAAAAACCGTAATAATAACGGTATTATTCAAACCGGTTTCATTGCTTCTTGCTTCTAAGGACGCTTTGGGTGACAACAACTAAAACGGGACCATTCCCACCGTTGCAACTCCTGTGTAGCCAGGATCTACAGCTTGACTGCCAATAAAAACCCAACCAATGAAGGTCGTCCCGAAGTTTGTCCCGGGGGAAAATTGACAACAAGTAAAGCCTGGTCCATGAGCACGTAGAATTTTGTCGTTGCACAGTCGCGACAGCAATATAATTTACGCACGAGCGATAAGGATGGGTAGCTTGGGGTCATTGGACAAAATTCTACGTGCTCACGGACCAGGCTTTAGTTGAATCTTAAAAGGACATACACCATCTAACATGTGTCGATGGTTTTGACTAGGGGTCTCCGTCCGTCATATCCGGTCCGCCACTGCCATCAATCCGGCCCGCGACAGCTTAAGACTAAGCCTATGTTTGCATAGGTGGGCAGAAAACCTAAAATTAATTGGGCCCTTGCAACAATACTGAAAAAAATACTATGGCCCCAAGGCTTCAAAGTTTGGAGACCCCTGGTTTTGACAATAGGTTGCGTCACAGCCTAGTCTAATGGTGCGTCCAGACTGGGCGAATTTGCTCGCGCGGCAAACTCAACATCCTGCTCACTCAAGAGCAGAGTGAGCAGGATGACGAGCGTGCTGCGCGAGCAAATTCGCCCAGTCTGAACGCACCATACAGATTAGCCTGTCTATTCCGCAAGCCAACCCTTGGCAAAAGCTAAACAGTATCTGTACTCACGTGAGAGCCAGGCGTAGCATCTGCACGAGCGCGGGCAGTAAGGCGCGAGGCCCGAGCGGCGGCGCGGGCGCGGGCGCGGCGCCGCACACCTCGGCCGCCCACGCCGCGCGGCACTTGTGCGCCTCGCCTAGCACCGTCTGGGAATAAATCGTTCGTTCGTTTCAGCCAAATGACGTCCACTGCTGGACAAAGGCCTCCTCCAAGGTTTTCCACAATGCACGGTCCTGCGTTGCCCGCATACAGGCTCTTCCCGCGACCTTTACCAGATCGTCGGTCCACCTAGTAGGAGGCTTGTCCACGCTACGTCTTCCAGCCCGTGGTCGCCACTCGAGAACTTTCTTGCCCCAACGGCCATCGTCTCTACGAGCTATGTGCCCCGCTCACTGCCACTTGATTTTAGCAATTCTGCGAGCACTGGGAATAATAGTGTTCGTTTATTTCTCCTTCTTTTTTTTTCTATGTTCTACGTTTTCATGGGTATACGTGCGTGTTTTGTATACAGTTACTCGAGGCTACTGAAGAAATTCGCTAATATTTGTTCGCAATTATTCACATATGAGACAATAAGGTTGTTTGTCATAATCTAGTAATCATACACGCGTCATGTGTACGAGAGGCCTGTACATACGCAGAGTCTCCCGCTGTGGCGTTCAGTAATGGACTTGTAGGGCTTACGCTAAAACTTGCACGGGTGCACAGAGCGGACGCCAGCGGCGGACGCCCGCTGAGACACTGGGGAAACAAGTCACAAGTATGCGCTGCTCATACTATTTTTTGATAGTCTCCCGACTCTCTAAGACCGTCAATACACGGACAGCTCGAGCAGTTAGTTAGTGATCAACATACACGGACCGCTCTTGCAGTCAAGAGTCAACAGCTTGAAGCTGCCAGTGATAACTGCTCGAGCAGTTGGTATTAACTGCTCAAAAAGTCACAAGCGCGCGCGCCGTGGAATTAAGAAAGTGGGCGGAGGTAACTGCGCGAGAGCTGTCGACAGCTCGAGCAGTCAGTGTATGGCTGGCGACTGCTTGACCGCACGATGAAAATCCACCGTGCTGTCGACCGCCCGAATCAGTTGCAACTGCTCGAGCGGTTCGTGTAAGTGCGTCCATAGAACTCTACAGTTCACTGTGCAGTCGCAGCTTGAAGTTGTCGACCCTGACTGCTTCAAACGGTCCGTGTATTGCCAGTCTTACCCTAAACTAGCACTGTCTGAATGGGCGGTGATTATCTGTAGGCCCAGGATGCGCGCCGCGATAAGCGTTATCACGCCATTTTATCGATTTTGCACATACATTTTGACGCCGATAAAGTGTATAACGGCGCGCATCCTAGCTTGACACCTAATAATGCACGGAAATTCGTGAACGTCATACACATGCGCTGCTCTTACTATTTTTGTATACTCAACACGCGCCACGTTTTAGCTGAAATCCTAAGGGGTGTCTACAGACTTGTAATAAGGTTCCAGATTAGCTACTAAAACACACGTATACATACATTAATGATGTTCATAGACGCGTGCACGTGCGCGGCGTGCGCGCGCGGGTCGGGCGTGGCGCGCGCGTGCGGCAGCGTGGCCAGCGCGCGCAGCACGCGGCCGATGCGCGACACGCGCCGGTAGCACGCGTCCGCCGGCGCCAGCGCGCCCGACGCTAGTGCCGCCTCCACTTCGGGCTCCTCTTCTACCTCGCCGCTGTCGCCGCACACCACCTGCATTTTAAAAATATAGTTCTGAAATACTGAACTGTCCGATCCATGACATTGACAGTGGGCCACCATCAATACCGGATCGCTGGTTCCGATTTTTGCCATGTTGGAAACCATATAGTTGAACGATGGTAGCGCCCCCCTGTCATTGAGTTTGGTGGGACAGTTCAGCGTGGGTCATTTATACACGTTACAGCCTTGTCACACTGGCGGATTACAAGCAGTTTCAAAGCGGAGCGGCGACGCAGCGCACACGCCGCTCCGCTTTGAAGGCCCTCAGTCTCTATTATCATTGTTAGGAACCTATAGCTAGACAATTTGAAGTTCTAAGCGTTCACTGACATGCACTTTCGCACTCGGTCGTATCTGGCGTGCAACCCTCAGGCTCATACTTCTACAATTGACAACTACATGCCGCATTGTTACATATCGCTTCATGAGCACATTGTCCATGAACCTAACCACGATGAACCTAATTTCTATCTAATGTCTGGATTTTTTTATACGCTGACATCGAAAGTAGAAAGACGACATTAGGAATAAGCACGTCGCTGACATTGCAATACGGTGCCTCATATACATACGATTATGTGTTTGGACGTCAGCGTAGAAGTAATTCAAGCCTAAGGGCCTTGCCAAAATGGCGAATTGTAAACGGAGCGGCAGGCACGCCGCGGTCGCCAAAATGCTTGCAAAATGGCGCGGCGCCTCCGCCCACAAAACGCTTGCGATCCACCAGTGGTAAGGCTCTTAGTGCTTGTTCACGTTGACTCGCGGGCGCGGTGGCGGGCGCGGTGACGAAATATCAAACATATGTAGTGATTCCAAGTGTTCACGTACGAAACGCAGATGCGGTCTAACTAGCGGGCAAGCTAGCGACTGGTGCGCGCGGAGCGCTCGCGGTAATTTCATCGCGTGAAGATGTTTGTGTGTGTTCATGTCAAACTAGCGGCGGCGCGCGCGTTTCACTCGCGACGTCAGGTAAGTTCAACCAGTTTGAACTTGTCGCTAGAAACGATATAGTACGTCACACTCGCGCGAACGCCTGGTGGTTAATGTGAACACGAGCTCGCAACGTTTCCCGCGCCCGCGCGTACCTACGTGAACAAGCACCTAATGTTTCCTTTTCCTCCCCCAGTGAGGCGCACCTGGTAGATGGCGGCGTCGATGAGCTGCGCGTCGGGCCCGTGCTGCAGGCGGCGCAGCGCGGCGGCGACGGCCAGCTGCTCCGCCAGCCCGCACAGCGCCCACACCGTGCTCTGCACTCCGCCGCCGGACTCTAACCGACAAACAAACATGTTCAAAAACTTCTTGGAAAATAAACTACAATATTTCATTTAACTAGTTTCCTTTTAAACTCTGCTCTTCTAAAGCAGTGTTTTTCAACCTTTTTCATGACACGACCCCCCTAGTATGAAAAAATGTTCGGCGACCCCCCGACGGTTCGCTTTTTTTTTCATGCATTTTATAATGTTGCAAAGATGTTTGTAGGGACCGAATACTTCAATCCATACAACTTTTGCATAGTTAGATTTCGGATTTATCTGTCTCTGTCTGTTTTTTTTTTACTGAAGTAGTTTTTACGACCTCTCGCGACCCTCCTATAGAGGCACAAGTTGAAAAACACTGTTCTAGAGCATACCGTAGGTCTACAGCTATACAAATGAATAGGCATAGGTAAAACTCACTCGAGGCAGTCAAATGTCCGCCAAAGAAGGCCCGTACGTAACGCATGGCTATGCATGCATGTATGTTGCGCTGTAGGCCGTTAGTGACTTCCGGCTAGCACGAAAAACTTTCGAGTTCGAATCGTTTACATATTTGAATCATCACCAAAAGACTTAGTACGAAAACTACAACAGCGCCCTTGTGAACGTGTTGTAAAGTGAACTTAGTATGAGATATGGTTGCCCGAAACAATTTCAGAATCAAAATTATCACGTTATCGTTTAATTCGAAGATTGAGTATCGAATTTTGTCGAATACGCAAACGATTCGAAGACGAAAGTTGTTCATGCTAGAGGTATGGTACCTCTTGAAGCTGGTTATTGCTCGCTAAAAGTGAGCCGCAAATAATAAATGCAAATTAATGCTAGATTCGCCAGCGGCCAAGACGTACTCGCATACACGCGCCCCTTTCTTCGCTACCACCTGCGCGCCTCGCATATAGTTCCAAAATACTGAACTGTCCTGTCCATGGCATTGACAGCGGGGCGCCACCGTCTATACCGGATCGCTTGTTCCGATTTTTGCCATGTTGGAAACCATATAGTTGAACAATGGTAGCGCCCCCCTGTCATTGAGTTTGGTGGGACAGTTCAGCGTGGATCATCTATACCTGAAGACGAAGACTCGCATTTGATTTATATATATTTTGTCGGCCGTTTGGTGTAGTGGTTCGAAACGGACTACTATTCCGGAGGTTGCGGGTTCGATTCCCGCACAGTACAAACATTTGTGTGCATAAACATATTTGTTTGTATTGGACTGGGTGTTTTCTATGTATAATAAGTATGTATTTACAAAAAAAAAAGTATTTAAGTATGTTTATATCCGTTCTCTAGTACCCATAGTACAAGCTTTGCTTAGTTTGGGACTAGAAGCGCAGTGTAAAATGTCCAAGGATATTTATTATTATTCCTTTATTCATCTTACTTTCTTATTTTTAATTCTTTCTTTATTATTATTATTCCTTTATTCATCTTACTTTCTTATTTTTAATTTTTTCTTTTTACAATGTAATTACTATTATCAAAAAACAAAAATACATTATAAAAACAAAAATCTTAAAAATAGTTAACCCGCTGGCAGCGGAGCAGGGCCCAGGCTACCGGTGGTCAGGGTCACAGGCTGAGGATGTATTATTATTATTCTCTTTATTAACCTTGGTTCTTAATTTTAAATATTATTATTATTATTATATGTCGAGCTGACCTGTGGACACGAGCTGCAGACGGCGCAGCAGGCCGTGCGCGCGCAGGAAGTCGCGGAACAGCGTGAAGGCGCGCTGCTTGTCGCGCAGCTGGTGCGTCTGCTGCAGCGCCGCCGAGCTGCCCAGCGACACGCGTGTGCGGAGCCCGCCCGCGCGGGACTTCCATCTGCAAACATATAGTATGAGATAAAAACACATCTATCTAAATATATAAAAGGAGAAACTGACTGACTGACATATCAACGCACAGCCTAAACGGCTAAACGTAGGCACTTGAAATTTGGAAGTGACATAGCTTAGGTACCGCAGAGGTGCACTAAGAAAGGAATTCCCGAAATTCCCACGGGAACGGGAATTAGCGGGAAAATCCTTTTGAATGAAAAATCTAAACCACTTTAGTTAGACGCTTGAAATTTGGCATGCAGGTACCGTAGTAAACTTAAAGCTTAGTTACAACAGGATATTGCAAAATTCCCACGGGAACTGGAGTTAGCTGGAAAAAACATTTGTATGAAAAAATCTAAACCGCGTAAGATAGATGAAGGGGGTAAAACGGGATCCACGCGTACGAAGTCGCGGGCGGCCGCTAGTTACACATAAAAATACAGTAAATTGACATCATAAAACAAAAATCTAAGCATGATAAGGTCTCCCCCACAAGAACACGAACGTCACGCATGGCGCCAGCGTTGCTTAGTGCCGCGTCTCAATACTGCGCGGGCGCTCTGGCAAAACTATGACACTCAAAAGACGCTAGTGATAGGGGTGTCCTAAATCTAACATTCTTAAATGGAGGCATTTCACCAACACGTGCAGCGTTGACCGACATAAAAGTAGTAGGAAGGCGCTAGATGCAGGTTGCTAACAGCCAGCCAATCTGAAAGTCAGGCCTCCCGTCTATGTGGACGTCCTGTGGCTGAAATGATGTCGAAGGCGCTGGATGCAACTCGTTCCTAACCGGCCAATGAGGGTTTTGGCATTGACAGATATGTCAAAATCCACCAATCATGCAGCATTTGGACCTCCCGTCTACGTATTGCCATCTGGCGGATTTTTCAATAGCGAAAACCCTCATTAGGAAACCATTGGGTCGTCTATATTCAGCAATGGCCACCCCAAGGCTGATAAGATGCATTCTGCCCGAGGTTGGCGCGCCGCAGGTGTCACAGGAAGGCAGTGCACCCACCTGGGGTCTCCGGCCGGGATGTCGTCCAGCATCTCCGCGGCGATGGCGAGCACGGTGGTGTCGAGCGCGGCGTCGACGTCGGGCTCGGGCGCGGACGGGAACAGCTGCTCGAGGTTGGCGCGCCGCAGGTGTCACAGGAAGGCAGTGCACCCACCTGGGGTCTCCGGCCGGGATGTCGTCCAGCATCTCCGCGGCGATGGCGAGCACGGTGGTGTCGAGCGCGGCGTCGACGTCGGGCTCGGGCGCGGACGGGAACAGCTGCGCGAGGATGGCGCGGCAGGCGGTCGCGTCGCGTCGCAGGTGGAACAGGAAGGCTGTCTTCAGCTTGCCGCACGCGTCTGTCGTCACCATGCTCACCTAATGACAAAATTAATAATTGAGAATGTTACTAGGTATGCAAAATCCAATGCAATATCCAAGGATATTATAAGGATATTATATTACTAGGTATGCAAAATCACTTGAAACCTATGTTACAGTTAAGCTTTTACATTTACAAATACATTAGTTTTTATTTCATTCAAAAATACCCAGTTGTTATGATTTTATAGGCATTCAAAGTTCGCTTAAATATTGAGTCCCGCCGACGGTCACGTGACCCCGTGTGACGTACATTCACAGTGTCCGCTCACTAGAAAACGGATATAAACATATTTAAATACATTTATTTTTTTGTAAATAAAAACTTATTATACATAATAACACCTAGACCCATCACAGAAATTAAAATTGAACCAAACCCAAACTTGATGCGATTGTGTCGTTTTATTGCGAATTACCTATACTCTTCAATATAAAACGAATGAGCCCAAACTCGATGCATTTAAGTCGTTTTATTATAGAGTTCCTATGGCCACCTTCTAGCTCCATCATCAGATCAGCTCCATGTCATCATAATATTGCATGGTCATCCAAATCACATGTGTTTGCGAAATTTCAGCTTAATCGGTTGCCTGGAAGTGGGTCTTAATTCAGCTTGCAAGAAGTCGTTGTAATATGACGTCACGCGCATAAAATGGCGGGCCGGCCGCCGCCCGCACTTTTAAAATTCAATATCTTGGAAACTAATATTGACGTATCGAAATAATTCTTTCACACGTGTATTTTTTATTTTTAACAGAGAATACAGAAAGCTAAAAAACAAAATTAGTGAACATTCTTCATTGAAAAACAAAATAAAGAAGCGACGAAAGCGGTGAAGAACTAGTCGACACGTGATCCGAGGAAGCGGGTCCGACTCCCGCTGCTACTCCACTATTGTGGTGAACCCACTCGCAACACGCGACGCCCACGATGTGTTAACTGTACTAATTAGTACTTTGAAAAAAATAAATAAAGACTACTACATGTGTACGAATTCCGATCGTACACGCTGCTGTAACAGCGACCGCGTACATGACAAAAGTAGATAGTATAAGAGTTTTGTGACTCACCTCATGTGGATCTATCTCGTACAACGAAAGGTTTCCATCGTACATATCGGAGGGGCACGGTGAGCCCAGGGGGCTATCACATAAGGACCTAGAAAGAAACAAAAAATATTGTATTTATCGGAATAGTTCAGAATAGTAGTATTTTTTATGAACTCGTAAACTACTAAGTCTTATANGCGGCGATGGCGAGCACGGTGGTGTCGAGCGCGGCGTCGACGTCGGGCTCGGGCGCGGACGGGAACAGCTGCTCGAGGTTGGCGCGCCGCAGGTGTCACAGGAAGGCAGTGCACCCACCTGGGGTCTCCGGCCGGGATGTCGTCCAGCATCTCCGCGGCGATGGCGAGCACGGTGGTGTCGAGCGCGGCGTCGACGTCGGGCTCGGGCGCGGACGGGAACAGCTGCGAGAGGATGGCGCGGCAAGCGGTTGCGTCGCGTCGCAGGTGGAATAGAAAGGCGGTCTTCAGCTTGCCGCACGCGTCTGTCGTCACCATGCTCACCTGGGAATAAAGTTAATAAGTAAAAAATAACAAAATCGCGACTACATGTCGCACCCTTAATAATATAGGGGCACAACTCAAAATTTTTGGTTTTTTACTTTTTGTACTAGAGAGGCATATTTTCGTCAGTTCTACAANTTGAGCACCCATGTTATTTATTAATTTTGAAGGAATTATACATGTGTCTGAATCAAAACAGTTTTTAACAGTTTTATATTGTTTATTTACAACAAAAAAATAATACTTTGTTGGACCACCCTTCGCCTTAATTACTGCAGAAATTCTTTTTGGTAAAGATTGTACTAATTTATTACAATCGTCACATGTTAAAGCGTTCCACTCTTCTCGCAAGCGATGTTTTAGGTCTTCTTTTGTTATTATTGAATGGCGCCGGACCTTGCGCTTCAATAGACCACACAAATGCTCGATGAGGTTCAGGTCTGGTGACTGGGCAGGCCATTCAAGCAGCTCGATGTTATTGTCACTAAACCAAGCCATCTTTCGGTCAGCTTTGTGACAAGGTGCGTTATCCTGCTGGAATTTGACGCTCTTCATGTTGATGTCACCAAAAAGTGTTGTAAACGAGGGCAGAAGTGCGGATTCAAGAGCGTTTATGTACTTTGTAGAGTCCATGCGTCCTTCACACACAAACATTTCCCCAACTCCTGCGGCGCTCATGCACCCCCAGACCATCACACTGCCGCCGCCGCGTTTGACGGTAGGTACCACACACTCCGGGGTAAATTCTTCGTCTACTCGACGACGGACAAATGTCACACCAGGTGTGCCAACAATCTGTAAAGTAACGAAATTTTGTTAAGTGTTTTTCGGTCCAATATTTATTTTTACAAATATAGTTTTATAATATTATTGTCGCGTATTGTTATTACATGATATTGGCTAACTTACCTCAAAGTTTGATTCATCTGACCACACAATGTTTTTCAAATCTTCCTCAGTGAAAGTTTGGTATTTTAAAGCCTACTCGTAACGAGCTGTTTTGGTCTTTTCTGAGAGCCATGGCTTCTTTCTGGCTGTATAGCCCTTAATCCCAGCTTCTTGGAGTCTTCTGCGAGTTGTTCTTGCAGAAATTGGCGTATTAATTTCAGCTGATAACTCAGCAGCGAGGTCGGAAGAAGTTTTTTTATGATTTTTCAAAGACTAACAATACTACAGTATCATAGCTAAACATCTCGAAACGTGTTTTATTGCACGTTGTGCCGTGAGTTTATGTTTCAAAACCTGTCAAGGAAAGGTTTTTATCAAATATCTTTGAGTATCTTTTATAGTTATCATGTATAAGCAGTATTTAGGGGGTGCTCAATACTTTTGGCCAAGGCTGTAGTCTTCGGCTTCGGGATAGGTTTTTTTACACCCGTTATAATAAGTATGTGTTTACAAAAAAAAAGTATTTAAGTATGTTTATATCCGTTGTCTAGTACCCATAGTACAAGCTTTGCTTAGTTTGGGACTAGAAGCACAGTGTAAAATGTCTAAGGATATTTATTTATTATTTATTTATCTCCTGCTGTACTCGCAAAAACAAAATACTGCGTCACACAGCCGTGACGTGCGTAGCATTGCATGTACTGAATTTTAAGTAAAAACAAAATCTGTATTTGTTAGTTTCATTTATTTTAACTAAGATATTATGTACAATGTACATATTTGAATCAATTATTTTTAAGATTATAAGAGTTTACTTGTTAGTATCTCGACGCGTCGGTACCATGGTCGGTATAGAGGAGGGGTTGAGGGAAGAAGGGAACAAGAAGCGATTGTCTATTCTATCTATGCGATGTTCATTTGCACGTAAAATGTGATATAAACACTTAAATAAAACATTTATGAAACCATGATTTAAGATCTTCAAAGCTTTTGTAAATATTTTGACAGCTGGTAGCGACCTCTAAATCTTAACAAAAAAAAAAACAAAAAAAGCTAATTTCATATTTAGAGGTATATAATCGAATGAGAAAGTGCCCCGGGAATAATTCAAAAGTCGAAAAATAAGGACCACCCTAATGTGCACACGTTCATTATAAACCATACGCCACCGCTTAATCCGGTGAAAAAATCGGGCCGTTGTCCGGTCAAAAAAACGGACGTCTACAAGCGCTCTAACTGAATATGCTATTATCATACGCACCGATGGCCAGGCGCGACTCGGGCGAGCGCGCCACGTTGACGGCGGAGATGAGCATGAGGATGCCTTCGGAGCCGCTCGCACGCACGTCCAGGGCCGTGATCTCCACGCTGCTCAGGTCACCTGCAATAATAAAGATATGATTTAACTTCGCCGTAAAACATAAATGTCATTTATTTTCTACTAGCTTTCCGCCCGCGGCTTCGCCCGCGTGGAATTTTGTCTGTCACAGAAAAACTTTATCGCGCGCGTCCCTGTTTCAAAAACCGGGATAAAAACTATCCTATGTTCTTTCCCGGGACTCAAACTATCTCTAAGCCAAATTTCATCAAAATCGGTTGCGAGGTTTAAGCGGGAAAGCGTAACAGACAGACAGACAGACTAAATTTTTCATTTTTTTTTTACGAAAAAACCTTATCCTAACAATAACAAACAACAAAAAAAAAAATTAGAGAAATCAGTACAGCGGTTCACGCGTGATGCCGTGACCAACTTTTCCCGTGGATATCGTAGTTACTAAGGGATCCCCAACCTGTCTCACTACAGAACGGATAGTGCCATGTCGGTAGGTTTCTCACTCGGCGGACCGACGATCTGGTGAAGGTCGCAGACAGCACCTCGATCGCAGCGCTGGATCGGTCGCTGTGAAAATCTTTCAAGGATATTCCGCAGTAGATCCATCTACTATGCAGTGGTCCATCTTTTGGTTGAAATGATGATGATGATAAACGGGACTAGTCCCACATCTCGTTCTCACCGCTGCAACTGTTGTGCAGTCAGAATCTACAGCTTGACGCCGTTAAAAACCCAACCAGTGAAAGTTAAGTTTGTCCCGGGAGAAACTTAAACTGTCATTGGACCCGTAGCATTAATCATAAGAACATAGGAGAAATTATGATGTTTGAGTTATCCTACCGTGCTGCTGACACTAAAGCCTGGTCCGTGAGCACGTAGAATCCCGTCCACTGACCCCAAGCTACCCATCCTTATCGCTCGCGCGTAATTATATTGCTGTCGCGACTGTGCGACGGGCGCCCGCAGTGAGTGTGCGAGCGCGACAGCAACATAATTACGTGCGAGCGACAAGGATGGGCAGCTTGGGGTCATTGGACGGGATTCTACGTGCTCACGGCGCGTAGGGTTGACGCGACGCTGCAAGGACGCCGCACGATATCAACGCAACGTTTTTTTTTACAAGTAACCGAACACCGGGTTGATAAGAGATGAGACGACGACGTCCGCGTCCTGCGCCCAGCTCCTGAGGCACCAGTGACGTCACGCGCGGGCTGGCCGGCTCCTCCAGAGATGTGACACTCACTGTACCTTACAACAGTACACTCACTGGACACGAGCGCGAGGTAGGTGGGCGTGTACAGCAGAGCGTGCGGCCCGAGCGGCAGGAAGCGCGGCGGCGGCTGCTCCGCGTCCTGCGCCCAGCTCCGCAGAGGCACCAGTGACGTCACGCGCGGGTTCGCCGGGTCTTCCACTGAGATGTGAGCTGAGGGGAAAACAAACGTTGAATTAGTAAAGACAATCAAAACACCGCAACATGTGCTCATGGAGTGCAGTAGCGTGGAAGAACAACGGGCTCAATTTCTTCGATCACCATCGTCGCTACGGGAGGCCTGCAGCAGCCTAGACGGGCTGCTCGCCTTCTGGGGGGATTTGGGGTGGTTGGAGTAGGAAGATAAACCACAAATCGCGCACAATGGCCCAATCATGAGGCTAAGTGCGGTATTCGATTGCCCTGCAAAACTAACTAACTAACTAACTAGTAAAGACAATCATCATCATCACCATTTCAGCCATAGGACGTCCATGCTGAACATAGTCCTCCCCCAATGTATGATGTCGTCAGTTTACGAGATCGAATCAGAAATGAGGAGATCCGTAAACGAACTAAAGTCGCTGACGTAGCCCGACAGATTAGCAAGCTGAAGTGGCAATGGCAGGGTACATAGTACGCAGAACTGACTGACAGTCGATGGGGCAGCAAAGTTCTGGAATGGAGGCCGCGTATCGGAAAACGCAGCGTGGGACGTCCATCCATAAGGTGGACCAACGACATCAAGTAAAGACAAATGAAATCAAAAACTTAATGTTTTATATTAAATACTTGTTTTTAGAAGAGCTGTATTATAAAGAGTTGCCATTTTGTGTGACCAAATACAAAACTTTTATTCAGTACTTGTGAATATGCTGTTATCATACGCACCGATGGCCAGGCGCGACTCGGGCGAGCGCGCCACGTTGACGGCGGAGATGAGCAAGAGGACGCCGCTGGAGCCGCTCGCACGCACGTCCAGGGCCGTGATCTCCACGCTGCTCAGGTCACCTGCAATAAACATATTTTATAATTCAACTTCTTTACGGTGAAGTCTTTATACTATGTCGTTTATTTTCTGTAAATACGCTCTAAGAAACACCGACCATAGCCCTCTCCATAGCACGCTGTGCAACTTTGAGCTTCTGTATAAGGCCTATAGTGAGGGGCCACGTTTCCGAGCCATAAGTCATCACAGGTAACACACATTGGTTGTAGACTTTCGCCCACCCACAAGGTGGACCGACGACCTGATAAAGGTAGCGGGAAGGCGCTAGATGCAGGCCGCTACCAACCGTGCGATGTGGAAGTCATTGGGGGAGGCCTATGTTCAGCAGTGGACGTCCTGTGGCTGAAATTATGATGATGATGATGACGCTCTAAGAACTAGCTGCCCGATAGACGTGGTCCTGTCTTAAAAAAAGTTAATTTTACTAATTTCTTTTTTTTTTACTTAAAAACCTTATCATAACAATAACAAACACAACAAAAAAACATATTTAGAGAAATTAGTATAGCGGTTCACGCGTGATGCCGTGACCAACTTTTCCCGTGAATATCGTAGTCACTAAGGGATCCCCAACCTGTCTCACTAAAGAACGAATAGTGCCATGTCGGTAGGTTTCTCACTCGGTGGACCGACGATCTGGTGATGGTCGTAGAAAGCACCTCGATAGCAGCGTTGCTGTGAAAATCTTTCAAGGATATTCCGCAGTAGATCCATCTACTATGCAGTGGTCCATCCTTTGGTTGAAATGATGATGATGATAAACGGGACTAGTCCCACATCTCGTTCTTACCGCTGCAACTCTTGTGCAGTCAGAATCTACAGCTTGACGCCAATAAAAACCCAACCAATGAAGGTTAAGTTTGTCCCGGGAGAAAGTTAAACTGTCGTTGGACCTGTAGCATTAATCATTTAAGAACATAGGAGGAGTTATGATGTTTGAGTTATCCTACCGTGCTGCTGACACTAAAGCCTGGTCCGTGAGCACGTAGAATCCCGTCCACTGACCCCAAGCTACCCATCCTTATCGCTCGCGCGTAATTATATTGCTGTCGCGACTGTGCGACGCNTTCGGAGACCACCACCAGGCCCACGAGCTTCTGTAAATACAGACAAGGACGTAAATGTAACGAGATTCTAGTAACCGAGGTTCAAAAGACAATGCCGGAAATTGGCGTCTTTTTTTTTCGCGCGGCCATCGACCAAATCTTGTTTTTTGATTACAAAATAGTGTAATAAACCAAACTTACTATGACATGTATACTTCTAAACTCAGTCTGAACTGAGTTACGAGCATTAGAAGTTTGATGATTTTGTATACTACACTCGCGAGCAAAACTATGGAATCACTTACATGAAGTTGTTTTCACGCGATCTTGTGTACTAACGAATTTGTTAGTAACAAAAAAAGTGGGACCATTTTAAAGATTAAACTTTTACCTTTTAATTGATACCAAATTCATTTAAATCACATCGGTATTTAAAAAGATATCCCGGCTGATGTGAAGAAGTAAGGAAAAAGACATGTATCAACTGTTTGATACGTCGCGAGTTGCGGCCTACTTACCCCCTATAAAAACACGTGGTTTCGGATTTTTGCTTTCACACGTTGATCCATACACATCTCAGCTTCTTTTGACACTTTACCTGGGATTCTACACCTACAAAAGCAGCACAAATCGTTGCACTATTGCAAGAAGGGCTCAGCCAGCGGGCTGTCGCACGTCAGCTCCACATAAGCCAGTCCTGGGTTTCGAAAGTTTTAAGACGCTTTCAGGAGACTAGTGGCTTTATCCCGAGACCAAGTTCTGAACAGCGCCGGTGCATATCGCAGAGGGATGACCGTTTTTTCATGTCAACCTCTCTATGAAATCATCATTTGAGTGGTATCGATGTCCAGCAAGAGCTCAGAAATGTTCATAGGATAGCTGTTAGCGTGTGGACAGATAGTCTAAGATATAAGCAATAGAATTTGACTCCAAAAAGGCCTGCCACAGGCTCCTAACTGACGGCAGGTCACCGACAAGAACGCTTTCAATTAACTCGCACTTATTTTGATGGGTAGGCGAGTAATGGAGGCGAGTTTTGTTCTCCGATGAATGCAGACTGTGTTTGCAGTGCAGCAGTTGAAGAGGTCGGGTCTATAGGCAGCCTGGGGAGCGATTTGTGCAGAGCTGGTTCGCTGAAACAGTGGCTTACCCCCATAAGCCTTGCTCGACTTCCCATCGAGATGTGTACAAGCAAATTGAATACGTGCTTATCGGTGACCTGCCGTCAGTTTCGAGCCTGTGGCAGGCCTTTTTGGAGTCAAATTCTATTGCTTATATCTAAGACGAACTGTCCACACGCTAACAGCTATCCTACGAACATTTCTGAGCTCTTGCTGGACGTCGATACCAGTCAAATGACGATTTCATAGAGAGGTTTACATGAAAAAACGGTCATCCTTCTGCGATTTGCACTGGCGCTGTTCAGAACTTGGTCTCGGGATAAAGCCACTAGTCTCCCGAAAGCGTCTTAAAACTTTCGAAACCCAGGACTGGCTTATGTGGAGCTGACATGCGACAGCCCGCTGGCTGAGCCCTGCTTGCAATAGTGCAAGGATTTGTGCTGCTTCTGAAGGTGTAGAATCCCAGGTAAAGTGTCAAAAGAAGCTGAGATGTGTATGGATCAACGTGTGAAAGCAAAAATCCGAAAACACGTGTTTTTATAGGGGGTAAGTAGGCCGCAACTCGCGACGTATCAAACAGTTGATACATGTCTTTTTCCTTACTTCTTCACATCAGCCGGGATATCTTTTTAAATACCGGTGTGATTTAAATGAATTTGGTATCAATTAAAAGGTAAAAGTTTAATCTTTAAAATGGTCCCACTTTTTTTGTTACTAACAAATTCGTTAGTAAACAAGATCGCGTGGAAACAACTTCATGTAAGTGATTCCATAGTTTTGCTCGCGAGTGTAGATTTGCTTTTTGCGCGCAAGTTTTGTAAGAAATTGCAACAATTGATTTATTACACTATTTTGTAATCAAAAAACAAGGTTTGGTCGATGGCCGCGCGAAAAAAAAAAAGGACGCCACCTTTCATACAAAATCTGGCATTGCCATTTATAAAAATGTCTAAAGAAACAGTCTTTCATTGTTATATTCCCTCTGCGGCCAAAGCGCACATGTTATGCCACTCACAGTGTCAGCATGGGCAGGCATGGATCCGAAGAACAGCAGCGACACGCGCCGGCCGATCCCGCCGAGCCAGCCGCTTGGCGGCCGCAGCACTCGGCACGTCACTGTCGCGCGACCCTCTGTAACAAGAATTTGATTTAGTTTCATGCCAAAAAGGATGTTCACTCACTGCTAGGAAAAATACTCCTTAGATTGCCATGATGACCATGTTAAAATGTATGAACTGTATTATGTATGTGACTTTGTTGGTGTACCTAATAAATAAATAAATGACCGGTCCCATATTGTCTGCATTCAGGTGTTTGCCGCCACCTTAATATATCGTCAATCCATCGAGTGGGAGACCTGCCTATATCACGTCTTCCTGTCAGTATTTTATACTCATTTTTTCTCATAACTCATCATTCCGGGACCCACATAGTTTCCCATCGATCCAGGAGTCCTAAGCTTTCACTATTTTATGACTAGGTATACCATTGGTTGTTGGATAGATCACTGATGTAGATTGTATACACAGGACTGGACCCAGCGTCGACCCTTGGTGTACTCCTGCTTCTATTAGGCAAATTGATGACAAAGACTCCTCCGCCGGTCCGCCCTGGGTGCCAAGCATCAGGGGGTGACAAAAGTCGCGAAGATTAGTACTCACTCGCGCATCTGCATGACACGGGGGAGGGAGTGCGATTGGTACCATATACATACCATATAGCTCATCCGTGCTAACATCTTTCATCTTCGAATTGGTAACCCAACCGAAAAAATCTCGGGGGGGGGNACCACACCATTCTGGGGTGCCTTATTAATTATTATGAACTTATCACGGAGGGGGGGAGGGGGGCCGCCCCGGGTGCCAACTTATGCTACGCCGCCACTGCCTGGGACACTACGCACCAGGGTGGATAAAAATCACGATTTTTTTATTTTAATCAAAAAAATCACGATTTATTTGATTAATTTGATTTTTTTGATTTTTATTAGGTTCTGCGATCATTTCTTTAGTTTTTCTTACGGAATACATTTTTATTTACGTAGAATTGATGTATGGAGCAGGCAACACCGCCAAAAAAAATTAATTAAGTGGTTATCTGAAAAATCGCAAATGTGATGGAAATGGAATGTATGGAAAAATTAAATTTTTCAGATTCTCCATACAAAACGACAATTTCATACATTAACACCTAATATTAACATTGTTTTCGAACATTACAGTTGATTAATATTAACTCCCAGCCTTTCTATAATTCCATTTTCGGTCATTGATTTAAATCAATGATTTTTATTTAAAAAATCATGTAATAAAAATCGTGATTTAAATCATGATTTAAATCAACTTGATTTAAATCATGCAACCCTGCTACGCACCGTGGCGGCGCGGCTGCAGCAGCACGACGGAGCAGGTGGTGGTGGCGAGCAGCAGACGCCGCACTCCTGCCGCGCCCGCACGCCTGGGACCAGTAGCGGCGTAAGGGGAGGGGCGGTGGGGGCGGTACGCCCCGGGTGCCAAGCATCAGGGGGTGACAAAAGTCGCGCAGATTAGTACTCACTCACGCATCTGCATGACAAGGACGGTCATGATATGTCATGACGATTGGTACCATAAAGCTCATCCGTGCTAACATCTTTCATCTTCGAATTGGTAACCCAACCGAAAAAATCTCGGGGGGGGGGCACCACACCATTCTGGGGTGCGTTATTATGAACTTATCCCCGCCCCGGGTGCCAACTTATGCTACGCCGCCACTGCCTGGGACACTACGCACCGTGGCGGCGCGGCTGCAGCAGCACGACGGAGCAGGTGGTGGTGGCCAGCAGCAGACGGCCGCCGGCGTGCAGCAGGCGCTCGCACTCCTGGCCGCCCAGCTCGCAGCTGACGTCGGCCATGGCGCTGGCGTGCCCCACCGACCACCAGTAGCGCACCACGCCCCGGCCTGGGACACTACGCACCGTGGCGGCGCGGCTGCAGCAGCACGACGGAGCAGGTGGTGGTGGCCAGCAGCAGACGGCCGCCGGCGTGCAGCAGGCGCTCGCACTCCTGGCCGCCCAGCTCGCAGCTGACGTCGGCCATGGCGCTGGCGTGCCCCACCGACCACCAGTAGCGCACCACGCCCTCCGGCGACACGCCCACGCACGACGGCATCTGAGAACAATGACAACCTCAAATAAATACGCTTCAGGCAATGGTCAGATGCATACCCTCATTGTTAAAATTTAAATTAAACACTCAAGACAACTAATACCCGGCTTAGGTACTAGTTAAAATCAGCAAGCTTTATTTTCATAGCAGTCTGCAATTATTACAACGGGCCTTATAAGAAGGCTCAAGGCAAATGGCGATGGAGCTATGCTCGGAGTTTCTCTGCGAGGTCAAATCAGAAATGAGGTCATATCGAAAATCGCGCGGCCACGACACCACGCGCCTGATCAACACAAGACCATGCTTACCTAGGCTCCATCCTCATAGAACAGCTCCACCAAGTCGGCCTTATTTATTTATTTATTTATTTAAACTTTTATGCCAAAATAAATTTGAACATAAGGCGAACTTAATGCACTAAAGCATTCTCGACCAGTTTACCTTTGTTATATAATAAATGACCCATGTACAATTGACTCCACATGACTAATAACCATCCTTACCTGTGCTCCATCCTCATAGAACAGCTCCACCAAGTCGGCCTTATGTGCCAGGTCAGTCTGCGGCAAGGTAAGCTCCCTGGCCTGAGCAGGCTGGGCGGTTGATATGCTCACGCAACAACACCACCACGCGCCTGATCAACACAAGACCATGCTCACCTGTGCCCCATCTTCATAGAACAGCTCCACTAAATCCGCTTTATGCACCAAGTCCATCTGTAGCATGGTATTATTATTATTATTGGTTTTTGGGCCTTTATTTGCGCCAACTCGACCAGGTTTGATCTATTGTGGCAGCCCTTGTCTTTAAAGTTCACTGCTTAGTCCCGTTGAGTCTATAAATTTCCAGATTCTTTGGAGCGTGATATCTGCTATCTCATCCGGGTGCATGATGTGTCGCCCGAGATGGATACTTCTTTTGCTCATAAGCGGGAAGCATGAGCAAAGAACATGCATGGCCGTTTCTTCTTCTGTATGGCAGAATCTGCACAGAGTTTCCTCGGTCATGTTCATGTTCGATTTATGTTTGTTTAGTTTGCAGTGGCCGGTCAGTATTCTAGTCACTGCACAGGCTTTGTATCTTTTGAACTTTAGCAGTTCCTTAGTTACTTTATTGCTATATCCCTGAATGAGTGCTTTTGAGTGTTTTTGTCCCGATGTAGACTTCCACCACTCAATAGCCTCTTGTTTGCAGAGGGCGGTTAGTAGCGTGGTGGCTCGTTGTTTGGTAATGCCACAGAACGGTTCTACGCCGATTTGAGGGTAAGCTCCCTGGCCTGCGCGGGCGGAGCGGTCGATATGCTCACGCAACCAGGCCACCACGCGCCTGATCAACACAAGACCATGCTCACATGTGCCCCCTCCTCATAGAACAGCTCCACCAAGTCGGGACTGACGTGCCAGGTCAGTCTACGGTAGTGTGAGCTCCCTGGTCTGCGCGGCCAGAAATAGGCTCGCCCAGTCATGTCCGCAAGCATTTGATCAAGATAAGAGCATGCTTACCTGGGCCCCATCCTCATAGAACAGCTCCACTAAATCTGCCTTATGCGCCAGGTCAGTCTGCGGCAAGGTAAGCTCCCTAGCCTGCGCGGGCGGCGCGGGCGCGGGTGAAGCGGGCGCGGCGCCGGCGGCGGGCTCGCGCGGCCACGCCACCACGCGTCTGCCCGCCACCAGCCAACACCAACCGCAGGGAGAGAGCCGGACGCTCACTTCGCCACTGGCTGTTGAAACATGAATGATTTAGGACAGCGGTTCTTAACCTTTAAGTCATGAGGGACCATTTTACCAAATTTCTGTCTTGTCAGGGACCACCTCATAATCGGTCAAAACCAGTTTGACTGCAAAAATCAGTTAAAAGTGGTTTTGACCAAGGTGTGCAAGTGCACTTCGTGGACCACTTGGAATGCCTCCAGGGACCACCAGTGGTCCGGGACCACTGATTTAGGAAGTTGAAACAGCCAATAACATGGAGAACAGGATTTTTTATGAAGGGAAAACCATGAAATCTTAAATTATTTTAATTATGTACAGAAAATTGTATAGCATGGTAATGATTTTTCGAAAAAAATTCGCAAATCTTTGAATGCAGTTCTTTTTCTTTTCAAAAATAAAGGAATGTTTTCTACAGTATTAAGAGTACTTTCTTTCCAGGTGGCATTACAAAATTCCACCCTGTATATCTGATAAATATCATAAATATCGGATATTTTCGAACCCTGGGTACATGTTCATATGTAATTGGCCTACAAAATCTACTAAAAAACATTGTTATTACAGATTGATATTGTGCTGTGTACTGTCCTTAAATAAATAAATAAATAAAGATGGTAAAGTAGATTAGAGTAGGATCACACATCTCACTAGAGTATGGTATGCACGTCGAGTGCTGCAGAGTGCTTTTGCCTAAGTCAAGTGTGTAACCAAAATACCATTTTTGATACATTAAAAATTTAATTTAAATTTTTATGCATGCTCATAACACTAATAAAAAGCTTTAATAAAACTTACCAAAAGTAAGTGTCTCAGTGACCATCACCGGCAACGGTGAGCCGTAAGTCTCGACTGTGCTGATGGGTGTCTTGTAAATCACGTCTCCATTCTGTGCTCCAGGCGACTGGATATATTTGCTGGCAAACACAAAGGGTAGATGTGTGAAGCATATTGTAAGTGCAATGCAAACTATAAAATTTGCCCATCAAAAACTTGATCAATTAGCCTGAGCATTGGAACATAACATTTTCAAGTAAGTTGAGAACAGAAAGGAACCAGCTCAAACTCAAATATCACAAAATTAATCCATAATTATTTTCGTTTTTGGGTTAAAAGTAGGTAACCTAACTTTTGTTATTTTTTTAACCCTGACGCCAAAAAATAAGGCTGGTCAATGAAAATAAAATTTCTGATAACGTTGAACTACCTACCCTCATTGATTTTTACAATTTGCAATTTCATCGAACATGGCTGGGAGGTTACTTACTTTTGGTTTTTCCTTGCAGACATCCCAATGGGTTTTCTGCCGGTTATAGATTGTCTCACACGGGGAGAGAAAGGGCTCCTCATGCCCCCGGTATTGCTAAACTCCATTATTCACTAATTTAACACTAATAATCCAAATGAAACAGCAACATAAAATAACCGACACAACACGCCAAATCAAAAATAAAATCAATAATCATTTGCACTTCGTGAACTTCGTCCGAATTGCAGGCACGTTGCACTTTTTTAGATGTATGATTAAAAATTTTAACAGCAATAAAATTTACTTCAACCGGTTTCGGACTGATAATTTCGATAGTCTACAATCGATTCAAAAATCGATACCTTGGAAAATGTGGAACTGTTGGATATAGGTCGCGCAATCAGAGTTGAGGCCATCAACACAAGCAAAGACTTAATGAAGAATGTTCACTGATTTCATTTTTTAGCTATTTGTATTCTTTAAATAAAAAATACAAGTGATAAAATTATTTCCATACGTCAATTAGTTTCCAAAACATTAAATTTTAAATAATATGCGGGCAGCCGTAAAGATCTTTGTTTTAATTTTGTTAAATGATTCATGTCAGTTGGTTTTGCTTTGCACTTAGATATTATGCCAATAGGAGCACTATCGGAAGAAGCTACAGAATCGCGGAATAAAGATTTTAGAAAGATCAGAGAGAATCATACGCGTAAATTTAACCGAAAAGTGACCAATCGTGATATTTTAAATAATTTACTTATTTTTTCGGATCCTTTTTTGTCAACAATTAGACCAAAAATGAATGTGAGTCAAAATTTCCTCTTCCTAATGAAGTTAAAAATTTACTAGCTTCAAATAATGATGAAACTTTTGAATTTATAGATGTTGATGATGATGTTGAATAATAAATGATTAAGATTGGAATGATTGTTAGCTTCTTTCTATTTTAGAAAATCAATAAATTATGATAAAGTTGCCTTATATCCATATATTTTGTTTACTTTTTCGTACCTTACAAAATATCACTTATATCCTAAACGGGGACGCACTGGGACAAAGTTGTTACTGTATTAGCTTCTATTAGTATGACTCTTTAAAACCTATAAGTAGTCATATCTAACAAACTTTAACATTTTGAATAAGAGCCTCGTGAAGGAAACGTTTCATACAAATAAAACACAAAACATGTATTATAGCAAAAACTACGCATTTCTCAGAAAAATATAACTTAAACAAAACGTTTTTTATGACATTCTACACATGATACCATCGAAAAAAGTGAATAAATCGCTAATTCCATTTTTATCATTTCTTGAACCAGCGTGTGGCGGTGGTGTTCCCTACTGATTTCTACTGATCGTTATCGCCATCGCCATTAAATATCTGCAAGCGAGACAGAAAGTTCTTGTCAAACTCACTGTGCGTGCAACGAGACATAAGAGTATGCAAATACAGAATAAAATCTTTGCTTGTATTCATGGCCTCAACTCTGATTGCGCGACCTATAGTCCAATAGGAAAATTTCCAAGACGTTGATTGGCTGTACTGTATCTCATACAGGGCCCCGATTACGCTAATTTTTAACGTCTCCAATACAGACGCGCTCCTTCGTTAAAAATTAGCGTAATCGTGGCACAGATCTTTGGGTATTTCGCCAAAAATGGTCGATTTTGCCTAGNCAATTTCACTAAGATTCCCACAAAAGGATGGTTCTCATGTAACCACGGAAAGTAGTTCAGTACATACTAGATTACCAGCAATTGATTTACAAAATTTTGACGGAGATACTTTCGAGTGGTACAGTTTTATTAGCATGTTTAACTCCATAGTATTATCACGAAAAGACCTCTCGAAAACCGAGAAATATCACTACCTATTTACACACGTACATAAAGAACCACGATCTTTAATCCAACATTTATCAATGACTGACGAATCTTTAGATACAGCTCTCGAGATATTAAAAGGTAGATTTGACAATAAAAGAATGTTGATCGATCGTTACCTCGGTCGTTTGATTAATTTACCTACTTTGACAAACCCAAAAAACTTGCGCGTAGGCATTTTGAACCCCGTGCTTGAATGTACTCGGTCACTTAAAAACTTGGGTTTATGTGTCGAAGACTATGTACTTTTATTTATTGTTTTGTCAAAGTTACCTTCCGATATAAAAACTCGATATGAACAATTACACGGCGGCTTACGCAATACCTTGCCAGAATTTGATACAAAAAACCGCCCAAAGAAATTGACTTTTTAGTAAACAAAAACCCAAGGAGGGACCTACTTACGCGATTTGTCGCGAAACTGATCAAAGATGTACTGTCCTGCCTTGATGGTCTCTTGGGACGTAATGGCCGAGTTGTAACGGTGCAGTGCGTTACATTCTAACCCCCTTACTAATAAAACTTACATGCTCGTTGAACAGTGTTTTAAAGTGACGTTTAGTATGGAAATGTCATTTTAAAACAGTGTTCAACAACTGTGTAACTTTTTATTAGTAAGGGGGTAAGTTTTTTCGTTTCGTTACTACAATGGTCGAAAAGAAGACCCAGGGAAATTATACTTTTGACCTGGACAAGAACTTAACTTCACTTTATTTTCTTCCTATAAGTATTTGACATTTAAAGTTTTTATTTTTCGATAGCCAAACGTTTCTCAAATGTAAAGAGAGTGCTATTAGAATTAAATTACGCTTCAATTTGTTAAAATGTGCCTTCATTTTGGCAAACAACAGTAATGGACAGAACAAGGAAATTAGAAAAACGACTTTTGATTAAGTTTTTCTACGGTTTTATTTGTAGTTTCTGCTATTGTAATAGCAAAAACAAATAAAACTTTTGATGAACTTCCCCATAAAAATAGTTTTATACAGATAGATATAAAAAAACATGTGTTCGCCTGCCTGGACACAGAAAATTTACTGTTTCGGCGAAATACCCCTTTGCTTGTCTTGCTTGATGGCCTCAACTTTCGTTGTGTGACTTAGTGATGGTCAACTCGAGTAAGTAACTCGAGTTAACTCGAGTTGGGCGTAACTCGAACCCACTCGAGTTGAATTCTCTCTGACTCGAGTGTATAAACCTTCCATGAAACTTGTTTATGTTTGTTGCCAATAGATGTCACTGTATTTTGAGGGACGAAAAGCTGTACCGCGGTGTCCAGATTTTTTTCCCTGGCTTTATATACCTGGAGTATTTTGACATCTGTTAACCTTTAAGAACCATTGACAACCATTGTGAACCATTGACAACCTGTGTCAAGCAATAAATTGTCACCTAAATATTGACGTCTTATTTAAACCTAGATAAGAGTCCCTTAAGTGCGCCGAGAGTATCCGTGGTTTATTCATGGTCCTGTCGAGTCGGATATCATCAGGAAGCTGATGTCCATTGGGCACTGGTAACGGTGCAGGTGCCGCGACTACACTTTGTGCATTTTTGGAGGGGGGTGACGTCCTGGACAGTGGATCGCTGTCACAAACAGGACAGGTCAAGAAGCTGGGTCAGCTAGGAGCTGCTGACATCAGTTTGACAGTACCAGCTGTGGTACTGTCAGGGCAACCAACTGGTTGAGGAAGATCAGGAGATGATGATGGTGGTGCTGCGCTGAGGTGGCGCCATCTGGTGGAGACACTCTCGGAGCCCTAGGGAATCGTGTTGGAGCCCTAAGGGGTTCGTGTCGGAGCCCGAAAGGAGTTCGGGTACGGAACCCGAAGTAGTTCGTGTTGGATGAAGAGTTCGCCGTCTATTGTGAGAGTGTGTGAGTGAAACGGATATAACTGTGAGTACTCTTTTGGCATTTTATTATTGAGAAGAAAGTTGAAGGATTTTGGACTTTATTTACACTGGTAGTTTAACTTAGAAAATTTTAATTGTTTACATTGACTTAGAATAATTTTAGATTAATATTTTAGGACTTAGAATAATTTTGCAAAGTTATGAAAAGTACCCAGTCCCATCATGTAGTAGAGAACAGCCCTAGCAAAATATCGGTTTCTTGTTCATATTGTTCTGACAACAATCATAAACTTGGCAATTGTAAGAAATTCGCAAATGAAACACTATCAGCTCGCCGTAACTTTGTCCAAACCAACAATTTTTGTTTTAACTGCTTAGGCGCGAATCATTCGGTTATGACTTGTCGTTTGCCTACTAGATGTAGAATCTGCAATAAGAAGCATCATTCTTTATTGCATTCAACCAATAACAACGTACCATCCAACAATGTTCAAACAACACAATCAATTAACCCATCAAGAACCAATCATGTCGTTGCGACAACAGCAACAACATCTGATGACATTGACCAGCAAACCAACATTACCACTTGTTTCTCTAACAACAAGAGTCAAGTTCTTTTAGCAACCGCGTTGGTAAAAGCTGAAACAAACAATGGATCGTTCATAACACTTAGGTCTTTATTGGACCAGGGATCACAGGCCTCGTTCGTGACGGAGTCTGCAGTCCAATTACTTGGGCTGAAGAAAGTAGCAAGCAGAAGTGTTATAACTGGGGTAGGGAGTGATTGTAACTCATCAGTCAACTCTAAACATGTAGTTAATATCAAACTGCAATCTATCTACGATCCGAACTTCACAATTACGGTGAAAGCTCACGTTCTTACCAAACTTACCACATTTCTTCCTGAACGACGGGTTGATTTGAAACTTTGGTCACACATGCCTGAAATGAAGTTGGCTGATCCAAAGTTTAATGTTCCAAACAAAATAGACTTGCTGTTAGGTGCAGAGGTGTATTGTCAGATATTATCTGAGGGACTAGTTAAGGGTCCAATAGGGTGTCCTATAGCTCAAAACACCAGACTCGGCTGGATATTATCTGGTCAAGTATCTGAAAGTAGTAAAACTGAACTAAGCTGTAGAAACGTCATAACAACATTACACACTCAAGTTGTTGAAGAAGAGTTTGATCTTAAACGCTTTTGGGAAATAGAATCTGATCAGTGTCTTCTCAATAAACCTCACCACACACCTGAAGAACAAAAATGCGAAGAATTTTTCAAACAAACAACCACAAGAGACCCTTCTGGACGTTATATCGTAAAACTGCCATTTAAAGAAGAAAATCCGAACTGTAAATCAGGCAACTCGCGAGAAATAGCTGTAAGCAGATTTTTAATGCAAGAAAGACGATTAGCAAAATCACCAAATCTCAAGGATCTCTATTCCGATGTTATTGCAGAGTATCTGGAGCTGGGTCACATGGAAAAAGTACCAAACGACGAGATCGACAAATCAGAAAGTGTGTACTTACCTCATCACGCAGTAGTGAAGCTCAACAGAACAACAACCAAACTGAGAGTGGTTTTTGACGCTTCATGTCGAGACAAGAACGGTGTATCTCTCAACAGCGAATTGTTGGTAGGCCCAAGGCTTCAATCGGATCTTCGTCATTTGGCGATGAGGTGGAGACTGCATCCTATTTGCTTGGTGGCTGATATAGTCAAAATGTATCGCCAAATAAAAGTAGCTAACGAAGATGTAGATTATCAACGATTAGTCTGGCGATCCAAGCCGCAAGAAGATATCGAACATCTGCGATTGTTGCGAGTCACCTTTGGCACTGCCTCAGCCCCATATCTTGCAGTCAGAGCACTGCATCAAGTCGCGTATGATGAAGGTAAACAGTTTCCATTGGCAGCTGAAAGAGTCCTAAATGATTTTTATGTGGATGATCTACTTACTGGATGTGACACAGTTCTGGAAGGAAAACAAATATTTCAACAAATGAATGAGTTACTAAGCAAAGGGGGATTTGAACTTCAAAAATGGTCAAGCAATAATGAAACACTGTTGAACGAAATAAGCAAGGATTCAGAAAAAACAACAAGCAATTTGGAACTCAAAGTAGATGAAATTATCAAAATTCTTGGACTTACCTGGAACCGACGAACTGACGTCTTCGAATACTCCGTGCAGCTACCACCTATCAGTGAACCTGTAACAAAGAGAAAAGTTATTTCAGATATTTCAAAGTTGTATGACCCTTTGGGATGGCTTGCTCCAGTCATCGTAAAAGCAAAAATGTTCATACAAAAGCTATGGTTAGCAGGAATCGGTTGGGATGAGGAGTTACCAGCAAAGCTTTTTAAAGATTGGAGTACTTACCGAGGTGAACTTACTGCACTTACTCAATTTCGTCTGCCGCGCTGGATTGGTACGAATTCAAAGTGTATCACAGTTGAGTTACACGGCTTCAGCGACGCTTCGTCTGATGCATATGCTGCTGTAGTCTATGCGCGCGTGGTAGATGAAGCTGGAAATGTTATGGTCACTCTTATCACCTGCAAAACAAAAGTAGCTCCAATAAAGCAAATTTCCATCCCGAAGCTTGAGTTGTGCGGCGCTGTTCTACTAGCGAAGTTGTTAAAGGAAGTCTCAGAAATTTTGAAGGTACCAAAGTCAAACTTACATGCATGGACGGACTCAACGATCGTTTTAGCTTGGCTGAGCAGTCATCCAAGTCGCTGGAAGACGTTCATAGCAAATCGAGTGTCAGAGATTTTAGCTAATTTAGACCGAGAACAGTGGTCACATGTGGTATCCTCTGATAACCCTGCAGATTGCGCTTCCCGTGGAGTCAACCCATCTGAATATGATACACTTCCTCTCTGGAAAAGTGGACCTGCATGGTTAAAAAACATAACCATAGAACACGACAGAACGGACATAAAGGACACGAACTTAGAAGAGAAAGAAAAGAAAGCTTACCATGTGACCAAGGAAAATCGACAAAACATCATCTGAAGCGAGTGATCGGCACAGCAACCCTTACCTATGAAGAAATATCTACGTTGTTATACCAAATTGAAGCGTGTCTTAACTCAAGGCCGTTAACACAGATCAGTACCAATTCACAAGATCCAACACCTCTCACACCAGGTCATTTTATCATCGGTGAACCTTTAGTACTTGTGCCCGATAACAATTATGAAACGTCAACAATATCATCTTTGAAACGCTGGCAGCTAACCCAACAAATGCTTAAGGTCTTTTGGCGTAGGTGGTCCAACGAATATTTAACTCAGTTTTTGCAGCGGTACAAATGGGCAAATACAACACCAGAGCCTAGAATCGGGGATGTAGTTTTAGTTAAAGAAGACGATCTTCCTCCTGCGAAGTGGTTAATGGGCATAATTACCGAAAAGCACAAAGGTTTGGACAACCTTACGAGAGTTGTTAGTATAAAATGTAGAGATACCATTATTAAAAGGCCTGTTGTAAAATTGTGTGTTTTGCCAGTGGCTGAATAGAGCTATTTTATTTTTATATCATGTTTGAGTGATGAGTTTTGTTGTTTTCGTTTTGTTTAACCACTTTTGTGAACAAATAAATTAAGTTGTTAAGTTATCTTAGAACAATATTTTTGTATACCTATCCATTTATAAGGCTAAACTCTAACTATTGTTTTGTTATCTAGTCACCATGATTTAACCAATTTAAATTTCTTATAATGGTTTGTTTTTACCTAACTATACAGTCCACTCTTTCGTTGGTGGTTAATCATGGTGGGCGGAATTATGACCATTCCGGTCATGGTGGGCGGAATGTTTAATACCATAAAGTAATAAAAAAGAAGAAAGTGTCATGTCATCAACAGTGTCACGGGAGAATTGTTTTTTGTGAAACTAAATCAAAATAAAGGATATTTTATCATCAAATACATTGTTGGACTTTATTCAATTCTGTAATTAAGTAGTGGTTCCAAAAGTTACAACACTAGAAGCTGAAATGTCATTGTCAGCGTAGAAGAAACAAATTGTCAAAAGCAAATCCGTTTTTCGTCAACGGTTCCCGCTTTTGTTGATTTATTTTTTGGTCATTTCGTGTTTAATGTTATCACAAGTGTTTTTAGGCATGTGTTTTCGGTAGCCAAATTGTTCGTGAAAAGCTTCCAAGATGCACATAAAATCTATAGTGCTGGACGGTTTCAAATCGTATGGTAACCGAGTTGAAGTCACCGGTTTTGACCCAGAATTCAACGCTATCACGGGCTTGAATGGCACTGGAAAGTCGAATATATTGGATTCGATATGTTTCGTGTTGGGAATAACCAATCTATCGAACGTAAAGTATCAAAGTTGAGCGGATATGAAAGGTGTTTGTTTGGTTATATTTCTCCCGCCAATTGTTTCATTGTTTGTAAACGCTGCAGGTGCGTGCAGGCAGTCTGCAGGAGTTGATATACAAGCATGGACAGGCTGGGATCACCAAGGCGACGGTCAGCATTACGTTCGACAACAGAGATAAGAGGCAGTGTCCGATTGGTTATGAGAATCATGATGAAATCACTGTTACTAGACAGGTTTGTTATTTACTAGTTACCTTTAAAGAGACACTGCATATTCCAATAGAAAAATCCAAATAATTTTAAAATAATTTTAATAGTTTTGAAAGTTTGACAACAATTGGATTTTATAATGGTGGTGGTAATGGTGCATCTCAGTTGTATTCAATAAAGGTATTAATGATTTGTGTACTTCATTTAGACTCTTGTAATTTTCAGGTGGTAATGGGAGGCAAGAACAAGTATTTGATCAATGGTATAAATGTGCAGAATAAGAGAGTCAGTGATCTATTCTGCTCAGTTCAACTCAATGTGAACAACCCGCACTTCCTTATAATGCAGGGACGCATCACCAAAGTGCTCAATATGAAGCCACCTGAGGTAAAATAATACTTGTTTTATTTATGAAAAGTTTACATGTGTAAATGTGCTTTTTAGAACAGTGCTTTTTAAGTCTTTTTGCAGAAATTAAATTACTTCATGATTTGTTACGCTAAGAAAGGTATCAAATCACACATAGTACATAAATGTAGACATTTATTTTTGCTGTTTCCTAGATTTTGTCTATGGTGGAAGAAGCAGCAGGCACCAGGATGTATGAAGCTAAGAAGCAAGCTGCTCAGAAGACCATTGAGAAGAAGGATGCTAAGCTGAGAGAGTTGAATGATGTATGTAAATGAAAAACATTTTGTTCATATTTCATAATCATTATTGTTTAACAACTGCTTTGTTTGTTATTATTATAAAGATTATTCTATTCTATTATTTTATAGATTTACTTGTAATATTNAAATTCTGTCGCAGTGAGTACAAGTGTCGCATCTGCAAGAGGAAGCACCACACTCTGCTGCATCCTACGAACAAGATTGCTGCTCAGGAACCCCAAAACGGGGAGGTTACTACGGCTGATACCAAGAAAGTTGGTGCTGTTATTTCCTGCTCGTCTGCAAGAAGCACTGTGGATTGTAGCCAGGTATTGCTAGCGACGGCACTTGTAGATACTGTATCTTAATACGGCCAAACCTATACAATTCGTGCTTTACTGGATCAAGGGTCCCAATCCTCTTTTATTACAAAGGCCATGGTTGAATTATTGGGTTTGAAGAAGATTCCAGCTAGAGGGCAAATAGTAGGAGTAGGTGGCACGAACGGGCTCACGACAAAGTCTATGGTGGAAATAAAAATAGCATCACGGGTTGATCCGAACTTTATTATCACAGTGAAAGCTTACGTACTAGGGTCCATCACATCGCTTTTGTCTAACCAAAAGATAACAGCGGAGAAGTGGAAGGAGCTTGAGGACATTGTCCTTGCGGATCCGAGCTATTATACTTCTAACAGGGTGGATTTGTTGTTAGGGTCAGAAGTATATAGCCGGGTACTTCAAAACGGAGTCATCAAGGGACCGCTTGGTTCACCACTTGCTCAGTGTTCGTCATTGGGGTGGATTCTGTCTGGTGTCGTTAACACGCCGACGAAGCCCTCTGAAACAATAAATGTGATGCATTGTAGCGTGGAGGATAATCAGCTTCTAAAAAGATTTAGGGAGCTCGAAGATGACATTCCGTTGCCAAAGAAAGGAACGTGTTCAGAAAATAAAAAGACACGCGAAGGATACTTTACCAGAACTACTCGTAGAGGAGATGACACTGGTCGATACAATGAGCGTCTCCCGGTGAAGAATGAAGTTCCCGATGTGAAGAATTCCTGGCAAACATCTGGAAAAAGAATATATTCATTAAAACGAAGACTGAAAAATGGTGACCGGAAACAGAATTACATAGAGGTTTCTAGTGAAAATGTTGACATGAATTTGGATTACGGTGAAGATTCTCCAACGGCGGCCGAGAAGATACTGTCAGACTTTCATGTGGACGATCACATAATGGGTTGTGAAATGGTCGATCAGGGGATTCAACTTTACAGAGAAATGAATATGACGTTAGGTAAAGAAGGATGTGTGTTGCAAAAGTTGACTACTAACAATGAAGATTTGGTAAAGACAACGAAAGAAAAAGGTAAAGTAAGTCAACGGAAAGGAAACGAAGATGACCGGAAAAGAAAAACTGATGAAATAATAAAAAGTGGTGGTATTACCTGGAACCGAAGTGAAGATGTATACCGCTACAAGGTCGACGTGCAGACCTACGGAGATCCTGAAACAAAAAGGAAGGTTAAAATAAAAAAAAGATACGCTTGAGAAACGCTATGGGTATTCAACAACAGTAGAGGTACAGAAGGCTATGGGTTGTATTTAGTAGCATGCCAATTTGAAAACTAGTGCTGATGTTGAAAGGTTAAGAGAAAGTAGAGACTTACCCAAACGTAGCTTTCTCCAGCTCTTGAGTCCTTTTCTAATGTGAACATGTTGAGAGTTGGTTGGAGACTTGAAAACTCACAGCTTCAGGAACGTCGCGAAGGTGTAAAACAAAGGTGGACTATGCGTCAACCTAAAAGTTGGCGATTTAGTTGTCGTAAAGAAGGACAACTAGCTACGGGTCTTGGCTTAGTGGCAGGGTGATTGTGGTCCATCCCGGTAACGACGATGATAGAGTTGTTAGTTTCAAGGTTTTAAAATTTGGTCTCCTTCCTAAGGCTAAATAATTTTATTTTATTTAGTTTTAAGGTTTTGAGTATATTTAATATGTTTTTGTTATTTTACGGTACAATAGTTTTTTAAATGGTTTATTTTAATTTTATTGTTGATGTGTACCGTAACATGTTTTATGGTGGGCGATGCATTCGCATTAAGTTTCATTGGGTTTATTTCGATTTTCCTGTTGTTAAGGACCTAGGAAGGTCCTTGGTGGGCGATATGTATAAGCCTTCCATGAAACTTGTTTATGTTTGTTGCCAATAGATGTCACTGTATTTTGAGGGACGAAAAGCTGTACCGCGGTGTCCAGATTTTTTTCCCTGGCTTTATATACCTGGAGTATTTTGACATCTGTTAACCTTTAAGAACCATTGACAACCATTGTGAACCATTGACAACCTGTGTCAAGCAATAAATTGTCACCTAAATATTGACGTCTTATTTAAACCTACATAAGAGTCCCTTAAGTGCGCCGAGAGTATCCGTGGTTTATTCATCGAGTTCGTATCGTAAACCGAATGGAACCGACATGGACCGAGATGAGACTATGTTCATTTGAAGTTAACTTTAAACTGCCGGTTATTGTTGTAGATTTTCGTGTTTTATGTTCTGTTTTTGAAAAATGCCAAGTGATAATAAATATAAATATTTTTTAAAATTAAAATTCAAGCCAAAAATCCATGAATAAATTATATTATATTTCAAACAATAATTTTCTTTATTACTTTACTTAGTATGATTCTCCCAATACATTATAAATGATATTTTTTTAAATGTTAATGCGAATCTGAGCGAATAAACTGGTAAAAATAAGTAAAAAACTCACTTGTCCATCCTGTTAACTCGAGTTACGTAACTCGAGTTCAACCCGAGTTACGTAGATTTTAACTCGGGTTAAATCGAGTTTTGTTTTTCCCGAGTTGGCCCATCACTAGGAGGGTTTTCCCCTAATCGCCACGCTTGGCAGGCGGGTTGGCGTCGCAGTTTTTTACTTGGTTTCGCACGCAGACGCTGCTGCCCGTCCGGTGCTACAGGAGTTTGTCGCCTCTTACGACACGCCTCCTGTGGGCGGTGGGGAAAAGTATTCTTTTACGGCAGTCCCCACACGATCAAAAACTATGGTGCTGCAGAATAAAGCAGTTTCAGTAGTGAATAATCAACAAGCAATCTAAAGCAGATTACAGTTTTCATCTTATGATGTCCTTCTATGTCTGCTTGTATACTTCTTTTGTAACCTTGATATTAATAGTATATGTCATCTTTCAGATAATAAGGGAAGACATAGCACCCAAACTGCAGAAGCTGCAAGATGAGCGTTCTCAGTTCCAAGAGTACCAAAAGGTGGTGAGAGAGCTGGAGAACCTTACCAGGCTCTATGTGGCTTGGAAGTAAGTATACTGTTTATCACAATATTTTATGTACAAGCTAGTGATCACAGTATCATAAAAGTTTCAGGTTGTCTTATGTGAGCAGCCTACTACATGCTTAAACATGCAGCATAGAGCTTCTGTGTATACTTGATATAAAATCTATTCATAATTGTGTAGTTCATTGAAATTTGTTTCATGATATTTGCATCCAACAATATCTAACTATCATTTTAGCGCTCACCAGTTAGCGCCACTGTAGAGTAAGGTCCTGTCACTTGCTAGTAGCAAAGACTGGCACCAACTTGTGAGCGCTAAAGTGGTAGGAGGACTATCGCATTTGCACTCATCAAGATGGCGCCACTGTAGAGTAAGGTCCTGTCAATCGCCAGGGGTGCCAACTGTTAAGTATAAAAACGATAGCCCTCATTGGCTGAGTAGGTTGATGAACTTTTTCCTAAAATATTTGAGTTTGTTTATGTTAATGTTAAATTACTTTTCCACAGATATGTGAGTGCCGAGAAAAGTGCCAAGGAAGCAGAAGCCAAAGTGACTGAGGTACAGGACGACATCAAGAGCAAGAAGGAAAACATTAAAAATAATGAAAAGGAGGCTAAAGACTTGGACAAACAAGTTGTAGAACTCAATAAGAAGTTGGATGAGGTGAGTACCAAGAAACTTGTTTGGTAATGTAGGCAATGCATAAATTAAAAGTAGGAATAATCTAAAAATGTTTTTCAGAATGTACCCCAAGTAATATTTTACAATTTCTTGACAATATTAAGATGAAGGTTCAATGAGGGTTTTTGGCGTATGAAAAATCCGCCAGATGGCAATACGTAGACGCGAGGTCCAAATGCTGCATAATTGGTTATTTTTGACATTACATTGACAGATATGTCAAAATCCACCAATCACGCAGCAGTCAGACCCCACATCCACGTCCCGCCATCTAGCGGATCTTTCATACGCGAAAACCCTCATTTAGTTTCTGCACCTCAGTTTTCTAAAAAGTTACTTTTTAGTAACTGGGTTGTCTTTTTTTTAAATTTTTTTTTTCACCACTTTTGGCATGTTTTTCTCTTTGTAGAATTAAATATGTCAGAAATAAACGATTTGATTTAATTATTCCAGGAAAGCGGCAGCGTCCTAAAGGATCTAGAGACCGAGTTGCAAGTACACGAGAAAACCGAAGCGTCCGCGAGTGCCGGGTTTAAGGCCGCCAAGGACGCGCTCGCCTCGCACGAGAAGAAGGCGCGCCTGCTCAGCAGGGCCCTGGCCGACGACGAGGCAGCGCTGGCCGCTAAGAAGACAGTGCTGAGTGAGGTACAGGGTTCTTTCCAGCCTTTTACACCCAGTCCTGACCTCTATGATACAACCCTAGCTCTCAAAAGCAGTCCTGAGCTCCAGGAAATTGCTCTAAACATAAAATATGTAGTTTCTTTCAATCACTTTCTGCAGGTATCTGACCAATACTCTACAATATTTGTGCTTTGGTATAGAAAAAGAGGTTTAATAAAAATAGTTAACATTTTACGATCCCATTTTTGATAACAAGGAGATTCTGAAAGACTAAATTCAAGTTGCTCCACAATAGACAATTTGACACCATTCCTTGATAATTCAAAATCGCAACTTTTCTTAAAAACACTTCATTCTGGTCTTAAAAACTTAATTAATTTTAAATTACCTGTAAATTACGATTTTTGGTCGCATTTTAATTGAAAAAGTAATTTATTTGAGTTGACAAAATAGTGACGTCACTGCTTGTAGTGCCATACAAAATCTATGGGAGAGTTTCGTTTTGACAGTTTTAAAAAGTACGTCAATTGATTGGTGGTGTCAACACGTCTATTATAAAAATAAACTCATGAATACCAATGATATTTATCTTACCGTCCTGTCGGTCAGGTATCGTCCACCTTCGAGAACCTTCGTGCGGCGAGTGAAGCCAGCGAGACGGCGTTGGCTGAAGCGCAGCAGAAGTTCTTGGCCGTCAGCACTGGCCTAGAGGGCGCTTCTGAGTCGCTGCAGGACCAACTCATGGGTATGTTGAATTTGTTGTGGAACTTCTCAAAACTTACCATACTTAAGGCTGACTCGTGATCCGAGGGACGCGGGTACGAATCGCGGCGCTGCTGGACTAATGTGTTGGACCCACTCGTAACACAAACATGGCTTACCAGGAGGGGAAATTCGTTTAAAAAAACAATTGTGGTACAGGCTTATTTAAATATTTTCTTGCGGTTATTCAAGAGGTGCGTGAGGGTGATTTTGTTACGGAAAAAGTTAGCAAGACTTCAGATGTGCTTCAGTGTAAGCCATGCCGCTCTTATTAAATCACCCCTTCTGCACTGCTTCATTACTGCAGAAGTGTATTTAGGGTAGCATTATGCCTTATGATTGTTTTGATTATTATTTGATACGACTTTATTGTGCTTAGGCGACCGCGTTAAGTTCTCCGTATTATTCAGCGTAGTTACTAACATTACGTTTTTCTTGACATAGCGGCGAAAGCGGCAGCTTCGGAGGCGTCGACGCGCATCACGCAAAGCACGATGGAGCGCGAGCACGCGCAAAAGCGGCTGAAAGCGCTTGAACGCGAGTTCCAGACCAACAGCGCACAGTATCAGCGCGACCAGGACGCCATACGGAGTCACAGCGCGCAGGTGGAGAAGCTGCAGGTAAGACCTAGGCTTCTTCTGATGCCTTCACTATGTTATCTTGGAAAAGTCTACTAGATTTGCTTCAGAAGAGTTACTTTGAAAGAATCCAGTACCAGGTTGTATCAGAAGCGTTCACTAGCAGGCTTCGGAAGCGGCCACAGCTCGCTTCGCAAGCGGCCACATTTTCCTTCGGAAGCGTCCACCCGGCTGCTTCGGGAGTTTCCAGTAGGATAATTTCGAAAAATCCTCTAGTCTAGATTGTTTCGGAATCGTCTTCTAGATCCAAACTTCATTAGCAGCGATCATTAGGTTACTTCAAAAGCGTTTTTCTGGCTGCTTCCGTAGCGTCCATCTATTTTGGAAGCACACAATACGCTTTTTATGAAGCTTCTATTTCGTTGCTTCGGAAGCGTCCACTGTAGTCCTTTATTGAATACACAAACATCTATTAGTCTTTAAAAATGAAAGTCTATCATCATTCTTGCGATCCATCCACTAACTATATATTCCTGCATCACCCAGGGCGAGTTATCCAAGATGAACTTCAGCGAGGAGCGAAACACTCAGCTCAAGGAATCCACCCGCTCGCTGCAAGGCCTCATCCGCTCCAAGCGCGACGCGGTGGACAACCTCTCAGCAAGGCTGCAGCGCTGCGACTTCAAGTACTCGCCGCCGCAGCCCAACTTCGACAGCAGGCGGGTGTCTGGTGAGTCAGCATCATCATCATTTCAGCCACAGGATGTTCACTGCTGAACATAGGCCTCCCTCAATGATCTCCATATCGCCCGGTTGGTAGTGGCCTGCATCCAGCGCCTTTCTGCTACCTTTATGAGGTCGTCGGCCTTTAGTCAGCATATCTATTTTTATAGTTTGGTCGCTGAGCACGTAGAATTTTGTCCAATGACCCCAAGCTACCCATCCTTATCGCTCGCGCGGAATTATATTGCTGTCGCGACTGTGCGACGGGCGGCAGCAGTGAGTGTGCGAGCGCGACAGTTATAGTATAATTACGCGCGAGCGATAAGGATGGGTAGTTTGGGGTCATTGGACAAAATTCTACGTGCTCACAGACCGGGCTTTAGTGGCCTTCATACAGCGCCTTCCTGCTACCTTTATTAGGTTGTCGGCCTTTATGAGTCAGCATATCTATTTTTAGCAAATGTGACGTTGAAATATACACTCGTTTTCAGGTACAATCTGCCGGCTGATCGATGTGTGTGACCCGGTGTACTGCACAGCTTTAGAAACTGCAGCTGGTGGACGGGTAAGTATAATTGACCAGTTGACATCTCACTTCTTGACACACAATTTTTATGAACTGTCTTTACACGCGATGAGACTTTTATAAAACTTTTAATTGTAAGAGAATATTGTTTTCAGCTATACAACGTGGTGGTAGACACAGAGGTGACGAGTAAGCTGCTCCTGCAACGAGGCAACCTGCAGACCAGGACGACTATCATACCGCTCAACAAAATCTCCGGGCACGTCATAGACGCACAGACTGTCAGGCGCGCGCAGGAAATTGTAAGGGTTTTTTTATGAAATTAATTAAACAAATGGACAAAGGGTTATAAATATTCATAAAGCTGCAGCATAAAACAGCAAAGATTTGGGACATGTTAAGAGCGTTNTAAATAAATAAATAAATAAATAAATCACCCCTCCTACATACACTGCTCTGTTACCCCAGGAACCTACCCTGGAAAGCACTACAGGGTGTTAGGTAAATGGGTATATGAACCGCCACTAGCCCATGTTAACATGGTCATATAAATGGTATGGTGAAGACAGAAAATTGATATCTTCACTTTAATTATTTTAATTTTCATACAATACGGATTTTATAAAATTTATTTTGTATTAAAATTAAAAAAATTAAAATGATGATATCAAATTTCTGACTTCACCATACCATTTATATGACCATGTTATCATGGGCTAGTGTCGGCTCATATACCCATTTACCTAACACCCTGTATATGTCTTAAGATTGTAATTTTGTAGTGCAGTTACTAATATTACGTTTTTCTTGACACAGCGGCGAAGGCAGCGGCTTCAGAAGCGTCGACGCGCATCACACAAAGCACGATGGAGCGCGAGCATGCACAGAAGCGGCTGAAAGCGCTTGAACGCGAGTTCCAGACCAACAGCGCACAGTACCAGCGCGACCAGGACGCCATACGGAGTCACAGCGCGCAGGTGGAGAAGCTGCAGGTATGAATTTGGCTTCTTCTGATGCCTTCACAATGTCATCTTGGAAAAGTGTATTATATTTGCTTCAGAAGAGTTACTTTGGAAGAATCCAGTACCAGTTTGTATCAGAAGCGTTCACTAGCAGGCTTCGGAAGCGGCCACAGCTTGTTTCTGAAGCGGCCACAGAATGCTTCGAAAGTGGCCACAGTTTGCTTCAGAAGCGTCCATCCGGCTGCTTCGAGTTTCCAGTAGGCTATAAGATTTAAGTTAAACTTTCGCGTTCCAATTTAAATAAATAGTAAACGTCAGGCCGTGAGTACATAATGTAACTCATTAATAAAGGTCGAGTTAAGCTCCGTGTCTTACTATTCCAGTAGGCTAATAACGAAGAATCTTCTGGATGGGTTGTTTCGGAAGCGATCATTAGGTTACTCAGAAGCGTTTATCTGGCTGCTTCGGAAGCGTCCACTGTAGTCCTTTATTGAATACACAAACATCTATTAGTCTTTAAAAATGAAAGTCTATCATCATTCTTGCGATCCATCCACTAACTATTTATTCCTGCATCACCCAGGGCGAGTTATCCAAGATGAACTTCAGCGAGGAGCGAAACACTCAGCTCAAGGAATCCACCCGCTCGCTGCAAGGCCTCATCCGATCAAAAAGAGACGTGGTGGACAACCTGTCAGCGAGGCTGCAGCGCTGCGACTTCAAGTACTCGCCGCCGCAGCCCAACTTCGACAGCAGGCGGGTGTCTGGTAAGTAAGATAAGATAAGAAAAACTTTATAACTTTGTAAATCTGCATAGATTTTTTTATCCACAAGGAGGAAGACCTGCATCTCACTTGATGGTAGTGATAAATCAGGCAGAAGGTGGAAGCAAGCTTCACCCGGAATCATCAACCACAGAGGAATTGGCTACCTTACCTCTATCTGCCTAACTAAACCATAGATATAGCTTTGAAGCCATGATATCCGAACCTTGAAGGGGTGGGACTGGCTGACTCGACATCCGAGGAACACGGGTTTGAACCCCACCACCGCTTGACTATTGTGGTGAGCACACTCGTAACACAAGCATATTTAGCCTTCTAGTAATTTGTGAAATGCAAATTACATACCTTTTATAAAACAAAAATATAAAATTACTGAAACTACATATTTTTGCCCTCAATTAGAACAATATGCTGAAAAACGTTCGATAAGGTAAATAAGCGCGACAGCAAATGTGACCTTTGACTGACATACACTCTTTTTCAGGTACAATCTGCCGGCTGATCGATGTGTGTGACCCGGTGTACTGCACAGCTTTAGAAACTGCAGCCGGTGGACGGGTAAGTAAAATTTACCAGTTGACATCTCACTTCTTGACACACAATTTTTAAACTGTCTTTACTTACGCGATGGGAACTTTTAATTGTAGGGAAATATTGTTTTCAGCTATACAACGTGGTGGTAGACACAGAGGTGACGAGTAAGCTGCTCCTGCAACGAGGCAACCTGCAGACCAGGACGACTATCATACCGCTCAACAAGATCTCGGGCCACGTCATAGACGCACAGACTGTCAGGCGCGCGCAGGAAATCGTAAGTGGATTTTATGAAATTAGTGAAACAAATAGTTATAAATATTCATAAAGCTAATAAACAAAGATTTGGGACATGTTAATAGGTATTATACGACATGGAAAGATATAGAGGGAAAGTTTTTATATTCGTGCGAGCTTAGTTGGTTTACAATGTCTCCTAGACAGTATTCACATAGTTCATAGATCCACACAATCTTGGTTTTGTGTCTACATTATCTTTTTCGTAATGTTCTTCTTATAAGTCACTATTTTGTCAAACCACAATTTCCCTCAAAGAAGTGGCTTGGCTGTGAAGATCGTAGGGAGAGCGAGCAAGGGTGACTCTTGTCGCCTTAACTGTTTCATCACTCATACCAAGTCCACGTAGATGTATGGAGGTGCGCGCACGTAGGGACGTGACGGTGATATAAACTTTTTTGTCACTCATCTATCTCTATGGGAGTGACGAAATAATCACGGCGACAAAAGTCACCTGTGCGCGCGCTCCCGTACCGTGTAGCGCTTTTTGGTAACTAACAACTTACTTTGAAAGCTAATGATGACGATATTTTTTCAGGGTGGCGGTCCAGAAAACGTCCAACTGGCCCTCGACCTGATAAAGTTCGAGCCGCACCTCCGTCCGGCCATGGCGTGGGTGTTCGGAGGCACGCTGGTGTGCCGCGACCTGGACACGGCCAAGCGCGTCACCTTCCACCGCGACGTGCGCCGCCGCTGCGTCACGCTAGACGGAGACGTCTTTGATCCGTCTGGGACGCTGTCTGGTGGAGCGCGCGCTAAGGTGGGTGCTATACCTTCATCTAACTTGCTGTAGACCTGATATAGTTCGAGCCTTACCTCCGTCCGGCCATGGCGTGGGTGTGACACGACCAAGCGCGTGACGTGAGACGTGCGCCGCCGCTGCGTCACGCTCGATGGAGACGTGTTTGATCCTTCTGGAACGTTGTCAGGAGGCGCGCGCGCTAAGGTGGGTTCTATACGAAGGTATTGTAGATGAAAATCTAACTTGCTCTATAGTCTGGTCTGCGAGCACGTAGAATTTTGTCCAATGACCCCAAGCTACCTATCCTTATCGCTCGCGCGTAATTTATTGATGTCGCGCTCGCACACTAACTGCGGGCGCCCGTCGCACAGTCGCGACAGCAATATAATTACGCGTGAGCGATAAGGATGGGTAGCTTGGGGTCATTAGACAAAATTATACGTGCTCACAGACCGGGCTTTAGACCTGATAACAATTGGGCTGCATCTCCATTTGGCCATGGTATGAGACGGCCAAGGGCGTGACCTTCCTCCGCGACTTGCGCCGCCGCTGCGTCACGCTCGACGGAGACGTGTTCGATCCTTCTGGGACGCTGTCAGGACGCGCCCGCGCTAAGGTACTATCGTCTAACAAGCTATAGACTTGATCAAGTTCTCGCATCTCTAGCCATCAATGGCGTGAGTGTTTGGGACACGGCCAAGCGCGTCACCTTCCACCGCGACGTGCGCCGCCGCTGCGTCACGTTAGACGGAGACGTGTTTGATCCGTCTGGGACGCTGTCTGGTGGAGCGCGGGCTAAGGTGGGTGCTATACCTTTGTCTAACAAGCTATAGATCTGATATAGTTCGAGCTGCACCTCCGTCCGGCCATGGCGTGGGTGTTCGGAGGCACGCTGGTGTGCCGCGACCTGGACACGGCCAAGCGCGTCACCTTCCACCGCGACGTGCGCCGCCGCTGCGTCACGCTAGACGGAGACGTGTTCGATCCTTCTGGGACATTGTCTGGTGGAGCGCGGGCTAAGGTGGGTGCTATACATTCGTCTAATAAGCTATAGACTTGATCAAGTTCCCGTCACATCTCCAGCCAAGCGCGTGACGTTCCACCGCGACGTGCGTCACGCTCGATGGAGACGTGTTCGATCCTTCTGGAACGCTGTCCGGAGGCGCGCGCGCTAAGGTGGGTGCTATACCTTCATCTAACTTGCTGTAGACCTGATAAAGTTTGGGCTGCATCTCCATTTGGCCATGGTGTGAAACGGGCAAGGGCGTGACGTTCCACCGCGACGTGCGCCGCCGCTGCGTCACGCTCGATGGAGATGTGTTCGATCCTTCTGGGACGCTGTCTGGAGGAGCGCGTGTTAAGGTGGGTGCTGCTATCATCACCATTTCAGCCACAGGACATTAACTGCTGAAGTAGGTAAGCCTCCCTTAATGATTTCTATATTGCTCGATTGGTAGTGGCCTGCATCTAGCGCCTTCCTGCTACCTTTATGCTGCACCTTGCGGGTGGACATCCCACGCTCGTAGCCTCCACTCCAGAACCTTGCTGCCGGCCGTTAAACAACAGTCCATTCTACGGGTTGTATAAAATAGCATCAAAAGTATTCCGTTCAACACTTTATTTCACAGTCTTTGTCGTTTAACAAGACTGAATTATATTTCGACATTGAGACCAATATCGTAGATTAAAATATATTCTGATGATACATGCTTGCATATTAGAATTGGCCTGTCAAGATACGATAAGTCCTTATATTTCTCTATACAGGGCGGCTCAGTGCTGGTCCAGCTGCAGGAGCTGAAGGAAGCGGAAGCACAGCTGCAGCAAGCCGAGGCGCAGTACCAGCAGTGCAGCGCCGAGCTGGCCTCCACGCAGCACGCCGCCGAGAAGTATGCGCACACGCAGCAAAGGTAATCGTTACGAGAATGAGTTTGTAAATAAATAATAATAATACTGATTCTTCAATACATTACCTTATCTAAAACCAAGCTCGTGCTAGGTACCTTACAGGACGCAATCTTGATTGTTCATTTATAAATAAAATAAAAAAATATCCGACCGTCCGGACCGACGACATCGTAAAAGTAGCAGGGATGAGGGAAGCGCTGGACGCAGGCCGCTACCAATCGATCAACCTGGAAAGCATTGGGGGGGCCTATGTTCAGCAGTGGACGTCCTATGGCTGAAATGATGATGATGATGATGCCTTACCACTACTTCGGGACATCTGGGCTGGTGCTGAGAAGCGGCAGAAGAATCTCAGTCACCTTTGTCAGCCTCTTTTTCAATCAAATACAGTAATTTATATTTGTTTTAGGTACGAGATGATGTCTCACGAATTGGAAGTAATAAAGGCGAGATTAGCGACTACATCACACGCGCAAACGCATGCTGAGATTGAAAGTTTGCGAGCACAAGTAAGCATATTACATAATGAACAATTGTATACTAAGGAGGTAAAAGAACAAAATAAATAAATGTAACTTTGCTCAAGGTGGAAGAACTGTCAGCGGCAGTAGAAAGAGACAAAGTGACACAGAAAGAGACAGCGGCTAAAGCGAGGGAACTAGAAGCGAAAGTAAAGGACATCAAAGGTCACAGAGAGAGGTACGTAAAATTGCATTTCCCATCACCAATGACGAATGAAATAAATTATGGTTCAAATAACTATGATCCCAATTTTCTCCTATTTTAGAGAGTTCAAAAAAGCCGAAGCGGAATTGAAAAAGGCGAAAAAAGAAGCGGAACAGCATAGCAGTTCGTGGAAACAGAGAGAGCAGGAGTTTGAAACTCTGCGGTTGGAAGTGACGGAGCTGGAGCAAGCCGTTGCTACCAGTAAGCAGACGCTGCAGGAAACTGTGGAGGCAGCAGTAGGGTTGCAGGAGAGCTTGCAAGACGCGAAGGAGGAACACACTAAGGCTACAGTAAGTAGTTCAAAAGTCCCTATTACTAAAGCAGCGGGAGCAGGAGTTTGAAACTGCGGTTGGAAGTGACGGAGCTGGAGCAAGCCGTCGCCAGCAGTAAGCAGACGCTGCAGGAAACCGTGGAGGCAGCAGTGGGGTTGCAGGAGAGCTTGCAAGACGCGAAGGAGGAACACACTAAAGCTACAGTAAGAAGTTTAAAATAGTCCCTATTTTTTACTATAGTTTCAACCAAGGGACTTCCACCTATGTTTCTTTTCTAGCTTTTTAACTAAAGGACGTCCACCTCTGGACAAATACCTTCCCCAAGGATTTCGTGGTTTTGTCCGTGGTTGCCTCTTCTACTTTCTTGATTTTCTACTTCGTGTCAAGTGTAATTAAAACTATGCATATTATTTTAGGAAGCAGTAAAGGAGATTCAGTCTCGAATAAAGAAGCAAAAGCTAGAGATAGCAAGTCGCAGCAGCGACATATCGCGGCTGCATCAAAAGAAGGAACAGCTGGGGAAAAGCAACGCTGAGCTGGAACTCAAGATCAAGGAGCTCGACTATAAGATCAAGGAGTTGCAGGGCGAAGCGGCTGAGTGTGCTAAAAGGGTAAGAGATTGGAGTAACCATTTAAACATTCATTATCATCGTGTTATTTGTTCTTCACTGTAGAAGGACTTCTTTTATAATTTACGAGAAGCAAATGAAATATCTGGGGGCACGGTAGTGCCCCCACCAAGTCGAGCAAAAAAGCGGCACGGCCGTACCATCCTTTTCTCGAAGCAATTCAGGCTATTTTCGACTGCCTGTAACTTCGTTGTGGATAAAACTAGAAGGCTGAATTTTCATTAGCTATGCAGGCATTGTAAAAACACGGTATATTTAAAATTTCATTCAATTTGAACCAGTAGTTTAAGAATTATAACGGGTCAAAGTTACTTAATTTTTTCACTCACTGACTCACTGACTCACTGACTGACTGACCGATCATCAAAATTCTAAGGCACTTCTAGCAGACCTAAAAGCTTCAAATTTGGAATATAAGTAGTGTCTGGTGTATGAATCAAGGAAAAACTAAAATATTTTGGGGCACGGTAGTGCAACCGCCAAGTCGAGTAAAATTTTTCAATTTCGGTCCAGTTTTCTAGATACATAACTGCTGTCTACAAAATACAAAAAGAAATGAGATCCCATCAAAAACAATACTTGTCAAAAAAACCAAGTCTCGCAACTCAGTTGTTCTACGGTAAAAAGTTGTGAGATCCATGTAATGCAAGAACCGAGCTGCAAGCAAAAGCTTTTAGAAATTAAAAGTTGTACAGACGACATCACATTCAGATAAACACTGTAGCATCTTAGTTGTAATAGACCGATGTGCTCTCGACTGTACCAAATTGTTCTGCGTGTCATGACATCCCCTAAATAGGTATTATCTTCTCATAGATAAAGTCCCTCGAAGCCGAGCACACGTGGATCCCGAGCGAGCGGGAATACTTCGGCGCGGCGGGCGGCCTTTACGACTTCGCCGCGCGCCAGGCTAGCGTCGCGGGGCAGCGTCTACAGCAGTTGGCAGACAGGAGAGACAAGCTGGCTAGAGGACTCAATGCGAGAGCTCATACGCTGTTGGGGAAGGAGGAAGAACAGGTGAGTGAAAGACGATAGGGAAAAACGGGAAATAATTTAAGAGTTGACGGAATAACTAGACAAGGCTGAAAGGAGGGACAAGCTGGCCCGAGGACTCGGTGTCAGGGCGCACACTTCTTGAGAAATGAGGAGGAATAGAAGAGGTCAGCTTACCGCTTTTCTTAGGCTATCTTAAGTTATTTTAGGACGATGGAACGTTTGCCCGAGATGGCCAACCGTAGGGACAATTTGGTTAGACTTAATACCAGGGTGAGCGCGAGTATTTCGGCGCGGCGGGCGGGCTGTACGACTTCGCGGCGCGCCAGGCCAGTGTCGCGGGGCAACGTCTCCAACAGATGGCAGACAGGAGAGACAAGCTGGCTAGGGGACTCAATGCGAGGGCTCATACGCTGTTGGGGAAGGAGGAGGAACAGGTGAGCGTAAAAGACGATAGGGAAAAACGGGCAGTAGGTAAGAAGATAAGTACTAGCCCAAAGGAGGGACAAACTGGATCGGGGACTCAGTGCCAGGGTGCACACTTTGTTGAGAAATGAAGAGGAATAGAAGAGGTCAGCTTACAGTTCTTCCTAGGAATTTATTAGGACGATGGAACGTCTGCCAGAGATGACCAACCGTAGGGACAATCTGGTTAGACTTAATGCCAGGGCGAGCGTGAGTACTTCAGCGCGCGTCAGGCCAGCGTCGCGGGGCAACGCTTACAACAGTTGGCAGATGAGAGAGACAAACTGGCTAGGGAGTCCCCTAGCCAGCGTTGAGTCCAACGCGAGAGCTCATACGCTGTTGGGAAAGGAGAAGGAACAGGTAAGGACAGCTTACAGATACGCTATGAAACGTCTGCATCAGTTGACAGATCGCAGGGATAAGTAAAACGAGAGGCTCAATCCGAGAGCACACACGCTGGGGAAGGAAGAGACAGGTGAGTGTAACTAAAACTAGTGATGGAACGTCTGCAGCAGCTGACTGACAGGAGTGTCAAGCTGAAGGAGACGTAATGCTATGGTACACATGTAGGGCTCTATGAATTCGCGGCGCGCCAGGCTAGCGTCGCGGGGCAGCGCTTGCAGCAGCTGGCTGACAGGAGAGACAAGCTGGCTAGGGGACTCAATGCAAGAGCTCATACTTTGCTGGGGAAGGAGGAGGAACAGGTGAGAGTTTACAGCTTGAAGACGGAAGGGAGGGACAGGTGAGGGTTTACAGGTTAAAGATAGAAGCGAGGGACAGCCGCTAGAGTTGACAGGAGGACGACTGCAATCAAGCTGGCCATAGGAAAGAATAATTGGCTGGTCGGTCACTCAATGCCACGGCGCACACTGTTGAGGAAGGAGGAGGAGAAGATGAAAGGAAAAACGGGAAGTAGGTTAGGAGTGAAAAATTGGCTAGTGGATCATTGCCAGGGCGCAGATGTTGTTGAGAAATGGGGAGTAACGACAATAGCTTACAATACAGCTGGAAAATGAAAGGATGAAATCTGTAACAGGGGCCGTCCATATATTACGTCATTCTAAATTAGGGGGGGGGGTTGGTCTGCGGANGTCACGCTCGATGGAGATGTCTTTGATCCGTCTGGGACGCTGTCTGGAGGTGCCCGCGCTAAGGTGGGTTCTATACGAAGGTATTGTAGATGAAGATCTAACTTGCTTTAGACCTGATAATATTCGAGCCGCACCTCCGTCCGGCCATGGCGTGGGTGTGACACGGCCAAGCGCGTGACGTGAAACGTGCGCCGCCGCTGCGTCACGCTCGACGGAGACGTGTTCGATCCTTCTGGGACGCTGTCTGGAGGCGCGCGGGCTAAGGTACAATCGTCTAACAAGCTATAGACTTGGTCAAGTTCTCGTCGCATCTCCAGCCAAACGCGTGACCTTCCACCGCGACGTGCGCCGCCGCTGCGTCACGCTCGATGGAGATGTCTTTGATCCGTCTGGAACATTGTCCGAAGGCGCGCGTGCTAAGGTGTGTGACATACCTTCATCTAACTTGCTGTAGACCTGATAAAGTTTGAGCTTCACCTCCGTCCGGCCATTGCGTGGGCGTGACACGGCCAAGCGCGTCACCTTCCACCGCGACGTGCGCCGCCGCTGCCTCACGCTCGATGGGGATGTTTTTGATCCGTCTGGGACGCTGTCTGGAGGCGCGCGGGCTAAGGTGTGTGACATACCTTCATCTAACTTGCTCTAGACCTGATAACATTTGAGCCATACCTACGTCCGGCCATGGCCGTGGGTGTGTTGTTAGTTATTGTTCCTCCGCGACGTGCGCCGCCGCTGCGTCACGCTCGATGGAGATGTCTTTGATCCGTCTGGGACATTGTCTGGAGGCGCGCGGGCTAAGGTGTGTGACATACCTTCATCTAACTTACTCTAGACCTGATAACATTGACCTTGCGGGTGGACATCCCACGTTCGTGCCCTCCACTCCAGAACCTTGCTGCCGGCCGTCCTTTCTACGGGTTGTATAAAATAGCATCAAAAGTATTCCGTTCAACATTTTATTTGACAGTCTTTGTCGTTTAACAAAACTGAATTATATTTCGACATTGAGACCAATATCGTAGATTAAAATATATTCTGATGATAGATAGGTATATGCTTGCATATTAGAATTGGCCTGTCAACATACGATAAGTCCTTATATTTCTCTATACAGGGCGGCTCAGTGCTGGTCCAGCTGCAAGAATTGAAGGAAGCAGAAGCACAGCTGCAGCAAGCCGAAGCGCAGTACCAGCAGTGCAGCGCCGAGCTGGCCTCCACGCAGCACGCCGCCGAGAAATATGCGCAGACGCAGCAGAGGTAATGTAACCAGAATCGCACTAAGCGTTTCGATGACTCTTTTATAATGCGAACAGCTAGGGACTGGAATTCGTTGCCTGCTGCTGTCTTTCCCGAAAACTATAACCTTTTCAAGGCAAGAGTGAATAGGCACTTACAGGGCTGATATGCACCACCATCCTAGACTGCATCCCACTTAACATCAGGTGCGATTGAAGTGAAATACCTGCCTTGTTTTGCATAAAAAAAAAAATGTGACTGAGTTTCTTGCGTTGCTTTTTCACAGCACTGGCCCTTTTATTGTTCCGAAGCAATGGTAGGGTTAAAGTAATACTGGGTTGTGTAAAAGCGCTTCTTAAAAACCTATTTGCGGAAAATAAAAGTTTTTGTGTTTTTATGATATACAGTGGTGACTGAGTCTGTTGCGGCGTTTCTTCTCAGCACTTGCCAAATGTTCGTCTCGAAACGCTGGTAGGGTAAAAAGATTATGAGACATGTAGAGGCTCCTTAAGAGCAAAGTGACAAATCGTCACTTTGCTCTTTGTAAGAACTATTTATTAGTCTAAACAAATATAGAAATTTTGACTTTGACTTTATGAGTTTATGAAGTGTAATTTATGAATCAATGACATCAGTGCCTCAAGTTTCCTTTTGATCGGCACCTTAACGGATTCTGAATATTCATTTGTTGTAGGTACGAAATGATGTCTCACGAATTGGAAGTGATAAAGGCGAGATTAGCGACTACATCACACGCGCAAACGCATGCTGAAATTGAGAGTTTGCGAGCTCAAGTGAGTATATTACATAATTAACATTTGTGTGCTAAGGAGGTATAAGAACAAAATAAATAAATGTAACTTTGCTAAAGGTGGAAGAACTGTCAGCGGCAGTAGAAAGAGACAAAGTGACACAGAAAGAGACAGCGGCTAAAGCGAGGGAACTAGAAGCGAAAGTAAAGGACATCAAAGGTCACAGAGAGAGGTACGTACAAAATTAATTAGATACCAATGGCAAAACATCAAACAAATTATGATGACTGGCTCAAATTGTGACAACAATGACACCAATTTTTCTTCCATTTTAGAGAGTTCAAAAAAGCCGAAGCGGAATTGAAAAAGGCGAAAAAAGAAGCGGAACAGCATAGCAGTTCGTGGAAACAGAGAGAGCAGGAGTTTGAAACTCTGCGGTTGGAAGTGACGGAGCTGGAGCAAGCCGTCGCCAGCAGTAAGCAGACGCTGCAGGAAACTGTGGAGGCAGCAGTAGGGTTGCAGGAGAGCTTGCAAGACGCGAAGGAGGAACACACTAAGGCTACAGTAAGTAGTTCAAAAGTCCCTATTACTAAAGCAGCGGGAGCAGGAGTTCGAGACTGCGGTTGGAAGTGACGGAGCTGGAGCAAGCCGTCGCCAGCAATAAGCAGACGCTGCAGGAAACTGTGGAGGCAGCAGTGGGGTTGCAGGCGAGCTTGCAAGATGCGAAGGAGGAACACACTAAGGCTACAGTAAGTAGTTCAAAAGTTCCTATTACTAAAGCAGCGGGAGCAGGAGTTCGAGACTCTGCGGTTGGAAGTGACGGAGCTGGAGCAAGCCGTCGCCAGCAGTAAGCAGACGCTGCAGGAGACTGTGGAGGCAGCAGTAGGGTTGCAGGAGAGCTTGCAAGATGCGAAGGAGGAACACACTAAGGCTACAGTAAGTAGTTCAAAAGTCCTTATTAATATCTATCGTTTCAACTAAAGGACGTCCACTGTTAGACAAAAACAAGCATTCCCCAAGGATTGTCACAACGACCGGTCCTACGCTTCCCGCATCCAGGTGTTTTCGCGTGACCTTCACTACATCGTCAATCCACTGAGTGGGAAATCTACCTACATTAAGCCTAGGCGCAGACCACGCGCTACTTTTAGTCGGCCGATAGTTGTGCCCGATTCTAATTTGTATGAAGAATCGGCCGATACCAAAGTGTAATATGCGAACTTTCATATTATGTCCATTCTCTCGGCCGACAAAAAGTCTGTAGTCTGCGGCTAGGCTAAGTTTTACAATCCGTGGTAGCCTCTTCTACTTTATTGTTACCCGTATTCACTTAAGCAAGTATCGTTTGTGAATACGGGCGTAAAACTATGATAATATTATTTTAGGAAGCAGTAAAAGATATCCAGTCTCGAATAAAGAAGCAAAAGCTAGAGATAGCAAGTCGCAGCAGCGACATATCCCGGCTGCATCAGAAGAAGGAACAGCTGGGGAAAAGTAACGCTGAGCTGGAACTCAAGATCAAGGAGCTCGACTATAAGATCAAGGAGTTGCAAGGCGAAGCGGCTGAGTGTGCTAAAAGGGTATGTGATTGGAATAACCATTTAAACTTTCATTATCTTCATGTTATTTGTTCTGAACTGCAGAAGGACTTCTTTTATAATTTATCAGAAGCAAATGAAAGATTTAGGCTGAGTTGCACCATGTTACTTTAACTTTGACAAACGTCAAAAATCTGTCATACTCCATACAAAATACACCGGTTATTGCTATAGTTACGGTCAAAGATAGGTGGTGCAACTCAGCCTTAGTTTACACTTTCCACATTGGCCAGACTGGTTTAGGACTGATGTTCGATATTTGCTCAACTGGCATCCACAGAATACCAGTGGTCGAAACGTGCTCTATTCCATTACGGTTTATCACCCTGTCTGTACAGTAGCAAATACCGTCGTAAAATATAAAAAAAAATACAAGGATCATTAGTATCATTACAAACAAGCCAGATTCTTCGATGGCATAAAATTTACATGAACCGAGCTGCAAGCAAAAGCTTTTAGAAATTAAAAGTTGTACAGACGACATCACATTAAGATAAACACTGTAGCATCTTAGTTGTAAGACTGATGTACTCCCGACTGTACCAAATTGTTCTCTCTGTTATGACATCACTTAAATAAGTATTTTCTCTTCATAGATAAAGTCCCTCGAAGCCGAGCACACGTGGATCCCGAGCGAGCGGGAATACTTCGGCGCGGCGGGCGGCCTTTACGACTTCGCCGCGCGCCAGGCTAGCGTCGCGGGGCAACGTCTTCAGCAGTTGGCAGACAGGAGAGACAAGCTGGCTAGAGGACTCAATGCGAGAGCTCATACGCTGCTAGGGAAGGAAGAAGAGCAGGTGAGTGAAAGACGATAGGGAAAAACGGGCAGTAGGTTAGAAGTTAAGTACTAGTCCAAAGGAGGGACAAACTGGATCGGGGACTCAGTGCCAGGGTGCACACTTTGTTGAGGAAGGAGGAGTAACAGAAGAGGTCAGCTTACAGCTCTTCTTAGGACTAAATTATTAGAGATGGCCAACCGTAGGGACAATCTGGCAAGGCTTAATGCCAGGGAGAGCGTAAGTATTTCGGCGTGGCGGGCGGGCTCTACGACTTCGCCGCGCGCCAAGCCAGCGTCGCGGGGCAGCGTCTACAGCAGTTGGCAGATAGGAGAGACAAGCTGGCTAGGGGACTCAATGCAAGAAAGAGCTCATACTTTGCTGGAAAAGGAAGAGGAACAGGTGAGAGTTTACAGCTTGCCTTGAAGATAGGAGAGAGGGATAGCCATTAAAGTTGACTGGATGACGAGTTACGACTACAATAGCTAGCCATAGGAGAGACAAGCTAACCCAATGTCAGAGTACACTGTTGGGAAAGAACGAAGACCAGGTGATAGCTTATAGCTGGAAGATGAAAGGGAGATATTGGCAGTAGATTAAGAGTTGACGGATAATGACGGCAAAAAAAAGCCCATAAGAGAGAAAAATTGACTGGGTAGCTCAGGGCCAGAGCGCAAACGTTGTTAGTAACGACACTAGCTTACAATACAGCTGGAAAATGGTAGGGATGAAATATGCAACAGCAGTAAAACATTAAGCTTTAAGTCTAAAAAATAAAAACAACCTGTAATACTGATAGATGGAAGGTTCTGTTGGTAACATTATAGTATCCCTTATAGCGTATTAATATTGAATTGTATTCCAGTACCAAGACGTGATGCGTAAGAAGAAGATCGTGGAAGCGGACCGCGCGAAACTCGTACAAGTGATGGCGGAACTAGATGAGAAGAAGAAGAAGACGCTGGTGACGGCGTGCGAGCAGGTCAACAAGGACTTCGGCTCCATCTTCAGCACATTGCTGCCCGGCGCACAGGCGAGACTCAAGCCGCCTGATGGCCTTACGGTGCTGGACGGGCTAGAGGTAAACTAAATGTGATTGTTTCCACTGCACGCATGCTAACGTTGTTATTGACGAAAGATGCTGGTGACGGCGTGCGAGCAGGTCAACAAGGACTTCGGTTCCATCTTCAGCACATTGCTGCCTGGTGCCCAAGCAAGACTCAAGCCGCCTGATGGGCTTACTGTGTTGGACGGGCTGGAGGTAATCTAAATGTGGTTGTTTTTCCTTTGCTCGCATGCTAACGTTGTTATTGACGAAAGATGCTGGTGACGGCGTGCGAGCAGGTCAACAAGGACTTCGGTTCCATCTTCAGCACATTGCTGCCCGGCGCACAAGAAAGACTTAAGCCGCCTGATGGGCTTACCGTGTTGGACGGGCTAGAGGTAAACTAAAATATGTGGTTGTTTCCACTGCACGCATGCTAACGTTGTTATTGACAAGAAGAAGACGCTGGTGACGGCGTGCGAGCAGGTCAACTAGGACTTGGCTCCATCTTCAGTATATTGCTGCCTGGTGCACAAGCAAGACTCAAGCCGCCTGATGGGCTTACCGTGTTGGACGGGCTGGAGGTAATCTAAATGTGGTTGTTTCCACTGCACGCATGCTAACGTTGTTATTGACGATACGAAGAAGACGCTGGTGACGGCGTGCGAGCAGGCCAACAAGGACTTCGGCTCCATCTTCAGTACATTGCTGCCTGGTGCACAAGCAAGACTCAAGCCGCCTGATGGGCTTACCGTGTTGGATGGGCTCGAGGTAAGCTAAATGTGATTGTTTCCACTGCACGCATGCTAACGTTGTTATTGACGGGAAGAAGACGCTGGTCACGGCGTGCGAGCAGGTCAAAAGGACTTCGGCTCCATCTTCAGCACATTGCTGCCTGGCGCCCAAGCAAGACTTAAGCCGCCCGACGGGTTTACCGTGTTGGACGGGCTAGAGGTAATTACATGTGGTTGTTTTTGCACTGCACGCATGTGAGTGTTGTTATGGCGTGTTGAAAACAACTGCTCATAATTATAGAATCGGCTGATTTAATCGATTTGTTATTTAGATCTTTTCATCCAAAGGAAAGTCGACTTCTGGTAGGATTTCCGCCACGATCATTCCTCGCCACCCGCACTCAGGTTTTTCCGTAAATCTCACCAGATTGTTGGCTAAGTGGGAAGCTTGCCTAGGTCCTGCTCTCTTCGCCACTTATTTTTTTAGCAATGCTGCGGGCTATGTTGTTTCTCCCATGGATCTCATTTCTGATTCGATCACACAGGAAAACTCCGAGCATAGCACGTTCTCGATATAGTAACAAAATATGAACGCTTTAAATTGTCCTCACGGCGTAGTTAAGAAACTGTAATGTCAAAAGTATAGTGTAGGATGAATTTAACCTCTAACCTATCTCGCAGGTGAAGGTGGGCTTCAACAACACGTGGAAGGAGTCCCTGGGCGAGCTCAGTGGCGGCCAGCGCTCGCTGGTGGCGCTGTCGCTGGTACTGGCCATGCTGCTGTTCAAGCCGGCCCCGCTGTACATCCTGGACGAAGTGGATGCTGCGTTGGACTTGTCGCACACGCAGAATATCGGCCATATGTTGAAGCAGCATTTCACACACTCACAGGTATACATCAACTCACATAGTTATCTCTCTATAGTCTCTGGTGTAAAATTCTACGTGCTCGCAGCACGTAGAATTTTGTAATTACCCGCGAGCGACAAGGATGGGTAGCTTGGGGTCATTGGACAAAATTCTACGTGCTCACAGACCGGGCTTTAGTCGCTGGTGCTGCCATGCTGCTGTTCAAGCCTCTTCCGCTGTACATCCTGGATTCTTCTTCTACTATCTTACTAGTTCTCTAGATCTGCAAGCTCCATTGTACATCCCTGATGAGGTGGACGCGTCCTTGAGCCTGTGACATACGCAAAATAAATGCACCCCAATCTGTCTTGGTCTAGCTAATCAGAGTTCAGGACACTTATTATTATTATCTAGACAAAATATTAACGCAATCTCTCGTCCACAGTTCATTATAGTCTCGCTGAAGGATGGAATGTTCAACAACGCCAACGTGCTATTCCGGACCAAATTCGTGGATGGCATGTCCTCCGTCCAGCGCACCGTCAACTCCAGGAGATGATCCCGCCACGACTCGGCCGAAGACGCAAGTGAAAGCAGTGGTCCGATGTGGACAACTGGATACACATTTGTGTATAAAGTACGAAATGGTTACGAAATATTTTAATATAGAATAGATAACTATCACAAACAGTTTCGACGTTGATGTTCACGTCCAAGTTGTGTAAAACGTGCGAAATAGGTATGAAATATTTCAATATAGGAAAGTGTGTTCTCCATTTTTTTGGTGCGAAAATATTTTATTCTAATTGGTCTTATATTACGAGTATTCACATGATCGATGCTATCGATATAATGTGCCTTGTTTGTTGAAAGTATAAAGAACTTGTTGTGCCATAAAATATTGTTTAAATTCCATTGTTTTTCTGTTAGATCGTGCTATAGTTAGCTATTGCCTTCACTGTTTCTCTGGATATGTAGGTATATCAACAATTTTTCGATGCAATACATTCCTTATACAGCCGGGGCATGTTATTAAATATTTCGTAAACGTCCATAAATGAAATGGTGCGGGCTTTTGGACCCACATCTCAGTGCATTGCACAATAATCTAGCTTTAAGTATTTGTAATTATAAAGTACAATATTTTAAAGCCGTGTTTTTATTATTTGATAACTGTGCTTACTGCTTAGAAGTTTATACAGTCAAGACGTTTTGAGATTGAATAGTATTTTTCCCTAAAAATAAACTTGAATTGTAAAATTAGGTCACAAACGTTAGCGGCTCGTGACGCAGTGCGAGTGATATGTTTGCTAATAAAATTAAAAGTTTAATAACTATTTGAGACAATAATATAAGAACAAAATCCAGTCGGTATATAATTTTAAATCGGCAGTGTCTCGGAAGAACCAGCTATGATATTATTTTAACGTTAAGTTTGTTGACTTTCAATACTAATATATTTTTTGCTTTTATCAGTTGGCGCCACTAACGAGAAGATGAGTTATTGGCGCCAACTAGTAATAATATACATATGTTATTTATTTTGTCAACTTGTTTACTTGCCTGCATCTGATAAATTCACTTCTAAATAATATTGTGGGGTACTAAGATCAGAAGGCAATAAACTCGCATCGCGCTAGACGATTGCATTAAACCCTACAAGAATACTGGAGTAATAAGATTAACAATATTCAAGTCTGTATGTGTTTTCGAGTGTGTTGACTGGCTGCGTCTGGCTTAGTTGCCACAGTAAACACACTGAAAGATCGGTAGTGCTATTCCAATAAGATACAAAATGCGTTTTTGTGTAACGCTTAATTATGTAAGTTTTTACGTATAAATAATCTACAGATTTGGAACAAATTAATACTAAGGCGGTACTTGATACATAAGTTTTATTAGGGGCATGATGATAGACTGTTGGGTGGTGATAGACGGGTGGGTGAAGAAAACTCATCGCGCCGGAGCAGACGACGCCGCATCTCTTCAGTCTGCCCGCGACCATGACTCGTGCAACCGAGCCGAAACGTCGGGAGGGTAAATATTATTTACCGTTAAAATAGATATTGTTGCAATAAATCCCGTGAAGTGATAATTTTATAATTTCATCGTATTGCGTGTTCAAAACAATTTGAAACGACCTACTGCCAATGTGTACTGTGGCATCGTCGAAACCACTTTATGTCGCTGATTACGTTCGCATTCTAATGTACATTTTCAGCTTTGCGGTTTGCTAATAAAATAAAGGGTGGTTGTATGTGAGATAGTCAAAACTGTTGAATTAAAATGTAAATATTATATTGAATATCAGTGAGTCGACATCTATTTGTTAGTATATTAGAATTTGTAATGAAGATTAGTGAAAAGTAAACCTATTTTAATAAGATGTTTACAGGCGTACTACACTGTACCTTACAGCGAATTTTACTGGGAAAGTTTTCGATTGTTCCCGTAAAGTAAAGCTCTAGGGTAAAGAACTGAAATCCTTGAGTGCAGAGGTTGACAATAAGCTTATCCGCTTCTCGGAAACTAAGATAGCTGTTGGTGTTAACAATCTAAAGCAGCCTAGGAATCTAGCGAGTTAGCGGGTAAGTTCCTAATTCTGCCGCACTTAACTAACTCTTCGTTGAGTAAGTAACGGCACGTAACGGTAAGTCGGTGTAGGCAACGGTAACGAAAGATAATCACGCGACCAAAAGTGACGTATGCAGTGCTCGTATTTTATTTCATATAATTAAGTCTGACTATGCTTTTTGACTGAATTTTCAGATAATCCTAAATTAAAAATTTCATTAAGTAAATAACTAAAATTGTGATGGTTATGTCATCATCACAATTTTTAAATTATAGTTTTTAGCCAGGCCAAACGCTTTTATGTCGCAGTGCATATTGTCACAACATAAACTTCTCTGCAGGTTACGGAAATTTTTAAATTTTGAAAGTACCTGTTCATGGTCCTGTCCAATAATACATTAGAGTAGACTTCTTTTTTATCGAGCTACTAACATTTCTGTCCAACTCACCCGTGCTGGGTATTAGCATATTCGCAATCACACCGTGTACTTGAGCATTTGTTCCAGAATCACGTAGGGCCGTTATATTTCGTGTTTACTGGTGTTGCCAACCCGCCCGGCGCGCCTTGCGGAATATTGTAATGGAAAAACATGCTACATAACGTGGATGATATTATTTTTGCGTTATTTTTAGCTTCTTGAGAACTCATAAAAATATTCCGATGGATAAATCAGACTTATTAAGTTTGTGGAATGAAGGAATTATGTGGAAATTGTTATATTTATAAAAAATCTAAAGAAATGGCCTCAAAAATAGTGAGTCCGACAAATTGTCTCACTGCGACTACTTATTGTCAAGTTAGTAACAAACAAACAGTCTGTTCTCTACTGCGCCTCATGCTGACGGATACCTGAAGGAACCTGAACATAATTAATACCACCATCTTATATCGAAATAAACCTTTCATAAACTGTAACGACAAGAAAACTGTCTCGATGACGCCGTATTCATGGCCCGAGTGCGCAATTCATCGCGAGTAAAAATTCTATTACGTCTGCACTATAAACATTTGCCGACCCACCGTCTCGTGGGAAATAAAAGTTTTACTATTCGCAGCTTTAATATCTGGGATTGATCCCACTCGCAGGTATAATGCCCGTTTTATTGGGCAGCAGTAAAGGTGGCGCACATTAGTGTCGGCCACATGATCCCCGGGGATCGAGCCGGTGTGTTTCGTCGAAGAAGGGTAAGTAGACGAGTGTCACGTTGATAACTGCAGGACCCGTGGTGAATTCATAATAGGTTGTTAAATAAATGTAAAATGTTTTCTGGCCTTCATTGCATTGTGTAATCGCACGTTAAGCCTATGTGAATTCTGACATAATTTAAGTTAGCTACCGAAATTAATAATTACTAACTTGAAAGGAAATTTAATAATTCAACAGCATCTCTGGAGAAATATTCGATATCTACTTTCCTAATAGCTGTAGAAAGACCGGCTTTATAATAATACGAAGTCAATGGCTGTAAGATTTCATATCCGGATGGGTCCCGGGAGGCGCGGCCGTCTGGCGGATGGGAGCTGAACATTTGTTCTAGGCGAGATAGCTTCGATTGCTGACAGATTAAATAACAACCTACGGTAGGTACGGTATTAAAATCACTTTAGAAAGAAGAAACTTTTGCATGTCCTCTAGAAATATCCAGAATGATTTATCTAACGCGCACTCAAAAAAACTAATTATTTACCACTGGTGAAGTTTACGAGCATTCATGTGACCGATGTGGTGACTAAACATGTAAGCGCTTTGGGTTTTCTGTAAGCTTATTATGTTGCTCATTAAATAAATAAATAAAAAAAAATCTGGCATTCAACTTCACAAGACCGAAAGCTAGAATACTAAGACAAAAAAACCCCTAGCAATAAAACTATCACCCGATAAATCCATTTTGTTCATCAGTTTCCTCCATAATATTTTAGTGCCGCATCCGATGTCACAATATCCTCGAAGAGGTTTCCACCTGCGAGCTGCTGAATGGCCCAATAATGCTCGAGAGCACTCTCAGGTGTTGCGAGGCGGCGACTAGTGTGAACGATCGCTGGACTAGGCTAGCACAATATTTTTATGCCTATCCTTTGTTGGTAAAGTGATTTGGAGGTTCCGATGTTTGCTTTCGTACTAAACTTGTTCGTGTAAGGTATTTCAGAAAGAAATCGTAATAGGAAGATAAGTACCACCTAACTAGGTTGTAACGAACACAATAAAATATTAAGGTGCGTATTACGAGTATAACGAAGCTTAGGGAAAAGGGAATAATTAATTACAAATTACAACAATTCTGGTTCTATATTATTATTATCTAAGCTCAGATAATATGTGTAGAAGTAAGTAGTACGTTGGTAAAATTAACGAATACTTAGGGTTTTCAATAAAATAAAATCATCATGAAATCGTACATTGAAAAGTACCTTAAAGTTAGGCTGTATGTTCAAATGTCATTGCCATAAAAAAAGTTTGTGATTTTCCGCGGGCATCTTTTCCATAACCTCAAAAACGTAAAAAAGTGGTGATGCTATTTATTTTGTGAAGTGTTTTTGTGGATGTGCAGTCTTCGTATAATGAATATTGAAGATAATTGAACATTTAACTTCGGTAAGTAATGCTTTGATTCATCTAAGTAAGTACATGTTCGTTCGTTAACTAACTTTTTCATATAGTTTAATTTACAAGGAAAAGTTTGCGTACGGCGTACCTACAAACTTATGGCGCAGTTAAACTTCAATTTCCCGCATAGTGTAGAGCTGCGTCGCTAAACTTTCTTTTACCCTAATTTGTGCTCTACGCGTCACGTGTTTAGTGTCTTGTAATAGCATTGTTGCATTAGATATTTGTTCGTTTCGTTCAAGCACCTACTAAGTAGATCCTCGGAATAGATTCCAAGATTTTCGTCAGCTAAAATTGCCCCGTGCGGGCGGCGCCGGCACAAAGCGGCGAGCTGATATGGGCCGGCGGTAAAAATTCGCTGAGCGCTCCTTAGCCGAAACTCCAATTTATTGCCCAGTAAGGCTCGCCGCACGTTGTTGCCAAATAATACCAGTACGTCGGCGGGAGGAAAAGATTCAATAACGTAGAAACGAGATTTCAAGATAAACCCATGCGCTATTTAAATTTATTGATGCGCTTAGGCTCTGAAATATAGCTCACCGACCACAGATTAGGTTTAGTAGTTAGTCTACGTAAGCAAAGGCTCTATTTAAACCATTTACAGACTAGAATCTAATGCTTGTTAGCCTTAATGGTTCATTAGAGTAGGCTGCGGATTGCGGCCTGAAACTATGTATTTTGCTATTGTGTGAACTTTGTTCTTGTCTTT